CACACGCAAAGAAGAAAAAACGAGAGCAGGGAACCCTAACTCCACTGCAAAAGAGGAAAAATTTGTACAAGTCAAGAAGCGATACCCAGCATAAGACACTGGGAACCACAAACACGACCTGTGCGTCAAACAGGTCGTGATTCACGAGATGCATTCATCCCTGGTTGAACGCCATAATGACTTGCCCACGTTCCATTTGGACTGGGCTACGTTGCGGGAGGGGAAGATGCCGTTTTTTGCAAACCATCTCTTCATGAGATTAACCTTCTTGGCGACGTCCTTTGCGGAGCTGCTCCCACCAGCTTTCACGGAACCTGCTTTACGACCAATGTCCTGACGAATCTTTCTGAGGGCCTTCTTATGGATGTTACCGCTGCCCGATACACTCCGGCTGCACTTCATGCTGGGCTTCGGTGTAGGTGTCCATGACCGCTTATTCTTACCAAGGCTGGCCTTAGCCTCGGCCTTGGCGCGCATTACTCTCAATGCGGCATTATAACCGGATTGGCCGCCCAATGACGACCAGGTTTGTAAGTTAGAAGGAACAGCCGGATTCTGGAGGAATGCGCCCGGGTCTAAGCAAAAGCATATGCCAGGAAATCGTGTCATCGCTGATGCAAGCGAGTTGTCACTCTGAAATCCCTTCGCCATATACTCCAAAACCACATTCATGACATCGTTGGTATGCGGAGTTCGGCGCGACAAACAAGCGTGTGCTTGCATGATGTACCCTGCATGCCTGATCCCTGGGGTGTCGGTACTGTCGCCAAGGGTTTGCACCACCTGCTGATGCCAACGCCGTCATGCGAAGACGAGCTACTACACGAACGTGTGCGCCATTCTCCTTGCGATCATAGGCGAGACGCCATTGTTGCTTTAGTTTCCGGAGTCGTCCCCCTGAAGCTGACAAGGCATCGCCGTCAACAGCTGGGAAAATTGTGGTCCGGTTGAAGCCACAATCATTCAACAGCTGTACGGTGCTTTTCTTTCTGTCAGGTTGACGGACTAGATTAATGACATAGATCAACATGGCTTGCAAGGTCTGTATCCACGTGTCCATGGCTCTCCAGGAGTTGGTTTATGTTCCTATTAGCAAAAACAACGACAAGGAAAGAAACATACAGATCAAGCTGGTGCAAACCTTACACAAGTGCCGGGCTGACCACTCTTCAGTCAGAAGCTCTAATGGCCACATCATGTCGATCACGGTGAAGTTCAACACGCGCGCAGCATGCACGAAACAGTGGCCACTGCAAGAATAGCAACTGACCTTAACGTGCCGGGTCCTGCCGTGGTCGTCGTAGTCCCCCTACAGGATTTCTGCCAAAATGGCTACGGAAATTGTTCAGTGAGAGCAAGTCTCCTTGCCCAAGGCTGTTGCAGTACTCACTCACACCGAGGTGATACCAAATCGTATCATGCAGACCGACAAAGTCAACATCAGTGTCGTCAAAATGCAAATGCAAAAACAAGACCAAGGGACAAGACAAACTCCACCCTTTACGAGTTCACCAAATGGCACGATCCATTGCCCATGAGTATCCCATGAGTCGTGCAGCGAAGGTAAGGTCACCAATTACGCCTATGACTACAGAGGCAACGCCCTGAAGACAGCTTGCCATGGATGGTATACCACCAAGCTTCGGGAAAACGTGCGTTTCCCCTTGCTGGATGATGATCCAACCACAGGACTGATCAGATTTGTATTGAACTCAATGAAGAAACATGCTGGTACTACATCGCGCAAGATCAAGCATGTCAGAGCAATCAAAAGTTCCAAATGGCTCCTACTACTACTGCTGCTGCTGCTGCTGGTCTAAATGGCAAGAGACACCATGCAATTTCATTTGGTCGAATGCACCAAAGGAATCGGTTGGAATGTCGTATGACTCAGTTTGTCGAAGCGAACAGATCAGCTGATAAGCAGCCTCACCGGACTCACCGGACTGATAGGCAAGTGAAGCAATGCAAGCATGCCTTACCGGACAAGCCGGACTGATAGGTCAATGTTGCAACAACAAGTAATATGCCTAACCGGACTGACCGGACTGATAGGCTAATGTCTCACGGCAATCAAGCCTCACCGGACGCACCGGACTACTAGGCCAATGCATCGACTGGGTAATATTCCTCACCGGACTCACCGGACTGGTAGGCTGCAGGTGCACATGCCTCACCGGACGTACCGGACTGATAGGCGATGCATCAACTGAGTAATATGCCTCACCGGACTCACCGGACTGATAGGCAAGTGAAGCAATGCAATCATGGTTTACCGGACAAGCCGGACTGAAAGGCCAGTGCAACGACAAATAGTATGCCTAGCCGGACAGACCGGACTGATAGGCTGATGTCTCCAGGCACTATCAAGCCTCACCGGACGCACCGGACTACTAGGCCAATGCATCGACCGGGTCATATGCCTCACCGGAGTCACCTGACTGATAAGCAGAGATGCACTGCCGCTTGAAGCTTCCTTTTTGGCTGCCGTCAGACAATGGTTTGCGTCGATGTCGATATCACATCTGAAGCAATCTGCATTACCGGGTTTAACAGCAGGACAAGGCTAAATCAAGTGAGCATGAATCAGAGAAGCCGCTACAAGGGGCAAGGCAGACGATCAGCATCAACCAAAGTCATAAAGCGAAGGACCCACAAGAAGATTACACTGTTGCCTGGGGGAAATACATCTCAGCATCTGTGCTCACAGGCACAGGTCAACTCACTGGTGGATCCAAAGAAAGCACAACCAATCAAGCGTTCAGAAAATAAAGCATGCGGAGCCAAGCGTGTCATGCGTTGCCGTTTTGTTGCGGGAACCCAGGAAGTAGCAAGTTACATGGACCATGAAAGTGCCATCAGGTTTTGAGCCTGTTACGTGCCAGGTCTAGTGATCCCCAACATGATCATGGGTTGTTTCGACCGAAAACAGTTCAAACGGCAGTGGAATTTTTTATGAAAACCGCATAGAGAGTCATCCCTCAACAATGGCTCGTGCGCACTACCGCACCGGGCGTGCCAGCTGACGACCGCAGACGGCTCGACTTAGTCGTGTACGGCGCCACGCCGCGGGGAGGCGCATTGTGCTGCGATGCGACCCTCATCTCACCTCTCGCGCGGACGGGGCATCCACAGCCGGGAGCCGCTGATACAGACGGGGCCGTTCTCAGGGTAGCCGAACGCCGCAAACGGTGCACATACCCGGAGCTCTGCAGCGCAGGACCGCAAGAGCTCGGAGGTCGGCGGGCGCGGGAATGGCGTGGCCGCGTGCATCACCTAATCCGCGTGCGGTCGCAAAGAGCTCCGCCAGCTCTCCGCCGCGCGGCCGCTGCGGGCTGGTCGCGCCGTTGATGGGGCTTGCTGGCTGTTGCCGTGCAGCAGGCCGTCGCCAGCACGGCACTGGGGCAAGCTTGGCCAGCGCCGCCCCACCCGTGTCAGAGGGATGAGCCGCCCCTCGGGCGAGTGCTCGAGCTCGCCGGACCAGCAGCGAGCTCCAGTCGTTTGCCGCTGCGCTCGTGGCTGTTGGCGGCGACGACCCCACGTAGCCGTAGCTGCAGTAGTAAGCCTGCCCCTGGCAGCATAATAGGACAGCCACCTTGCAGGCGGCAAAGAGGCACGTAAAAGAAAAGTTAAACAAAATGCCTTGGACCGATTCAATCTTAAAATCATGCAGCATGCATGAAAAGAAGCATTTTGAGATACGGGCGTCCACATGTAATTCCAATCTAGACTGGAGCGCAGAAGTGAGAATTCGATACGACATTCGGTCGTAAAAAGGCGCAAGAAAAAGGACTTCATTCGCTTGGTTGCGCGCTGCGAGCATGCTTGCCATCCTTTTCGGGCCCGCCGCCCCAACCTCTTTGGAGCGGCATCATTGCCGTGGCTGCCAGCAAGCGCTAGCCTCCTCTATGCTGGACTTCCAGTGCAGTGGTAGGGGTGCCGAACCTGTTTTGCACGCACTTGTCGCTCACGTGCATTGGCACGCAGCGTTGGGGCGCAGTCGCATGCCTAGCCGTACCGCTCGATCTCGAGCACTAGCTATGAAATCCATGCCGCAGGAGCAGACAGAAAGTGACGACAAACGTAGGCGAGCGTTTGCGCAAGGACGGCGGTGGCGTCGAGCCTGTTGAGAGCCCAGTTCCGTGAAAAAGAGCCAACAGGTCTGGAGGATTTGCGAAGGGTGGACCAAGCAGTTAATTGAAACCGGTGGCCGGCGGCGGCCTGCTGCCGAACGTGTGTTCGGACAAACCTTGGAGGACCCGGAGCCATTCGTAGTGGAGGGTATCCTAGCGCGACCCTGTTACTCTTTCCTGCTGCGGCCGCACTTTTTCAAAGATGTACTGCGCCAAGTTGTGGTTCCTCCTTCCGCGCATGCTCTTGCACCTTCTCGCCGCCGAAACTGCGCGAATCCAAAAAGCTGGTTTTCTGCAATCGTTTAGGGAGACTGGGCGTTTTCGCTCGGTGCTCTCCGCTTTCGGGACACTAGGACCGATACGATCGAAAGTGTGTCGTCACGATGTATCACGCATGCTGCCGCCCTTTTGCAGAGCTCTTTCCCAACCTGTGGGTCTGGCATGTTACTTGATTTTAAATGTTTAGTCCACAAGCCAAGCGGTCTGGCCACGTTCAAACCACATTCGTGCGTGTAAAAGAAAAACAAGTATCCATGAAATTAGCTGGAACGTCCCGTTGGCAACATCCTTGCATCAGGTATGTGGCGGCCAACCTTACGAGAAGTTTCTCTGTGAAGTCGGTGACGTTTCCTTTCAGATCCGCAAAAGTCTCTTGCACCGAGTGTCCCTCGTGGACCGGCACGGTGACGATTCATATGACATGTGAGTATTCCTTGCTTTTGGAGCGGCTGGGACTTACTACTACAGTGTTTTTTGTGGTTTCATCCCCCCCCCACAAGTGAACCGTGTGCAAACACCACTCCAACACCACAGCAATTTCATGGCTTGCTAGACTCGACCGAGGTTTGCCAGCCGCGGAGTATCGCGATGGCTGTTGCAAATTCTTTGTACCAGATGGCTCGTGCTCGCAACTGGGAGCAGTGCTTGTCCACATTGGGCACCATGCAGAACAGGTGCTTGTCTCGTGGTTTTCCTAGGGTTCGGTGCGCACCCATATACCTGGGATAGTACCAACAAGTTTGCCGACAGGTGCAGGTCATTTGACATCGTGAATTTCAACATCTGCATCCATGCGTGCCGGCATCGCTGGGAGCAAGCTCTTGCGTGCTTCAGGCACGCTCGCCAGCAGAGGTTGCAACCCTCCGTTGCGACATTTGGGTCCTTGTTCGCAGCATTGGGCGCGGGACACAGGTGGGTCCAGGTTCTTTCATTGTTGCAGCATGTGCCTCGCACATGGGACAACACCTTCGTTTTGACCAACGTGGTGCTCGGGGTATTCAAGAAAGCCCATCGCTGGGATCTCGCTGTGGAGTTGTGCGCTGGATGGAGCATGGCAAGGACTCTCGACCATGTTGGCATGATGGAGCTGGTGGGTGCATGTTCCAAAAGTTACAGATGGCAAGAAGCACTTTCACTTGCCTGTGGATGTCCGAACCAGGGGCCCAAGGAGCCCAAGCAGCCCAAGCTGCAAGTATACAACTGGTTGCTATACGGCTTCAGGGGTGGAGCTTGCTGGCAAGCAGGCATTGCTTTGCTGAGTGCAGCTTCGAGACATGTGGCAACAAACACAGTTTCTCATCGGCATTTGATGTTTCTACTGGAAGCTGCTCCGTGGCAACAGGCAATTCAACTGTTGCAGGATTCATGTGGATGGTCTCAGCGCTGGGGAGAGGCCGATGCAGAAACAATAGTGCTGGCCATTGCAATCATGGAATGTCAGCATCGGCCCGCAGAGAATCGGCACATCTTTTCCCAGGTTGTTCATCACAAACTCTGCGTGCAACGAAGAGATGGCAGCGCAGCCTTCACAGGCAAAGGCGCACACAACATCACCATTTTACATGATTCCTGGATGAAGGCTGGATTGACTTCTTTGCTGGAGCCTGCTTGGTGCCGCCATTTTCTAAGCCCTGTCAGTGCTTCCTTACGAGTGAAATGCCCTGTCCAGTCCAGCGCGATGGACCGCCTATCCCACACAACTCTGAAGAATGCGCATGTTGTTCCCGGCTCCGTCGCGCGGTTAGCCTCAGAAGTCAATTCTCTCCGTGGTGCATCACGCTGGAGAACAACGTGGTGGAAGCAAGCACAGCTCGCTTTGCGTCCTTTGTTTGCGGAGTCGACAATTCTCCGAAGGGCTGATGCTGGCACCGTGCGCGCATGGATCGGATATGACTTGAGGCTGTCGGAGTCTACTATGTCCATGCGCGACGAATTGACACTTGAGGCGAAGCCCTCCAGCACATCCGCCTGAGTGTTCAATAAAAGGTCCACATTGCCCATGTATGTGCAGCAGGCGATGCTGCACCAGCACGCCACGTGAAAGATCCTGCACTTGTTGAGGTTCGGGCGTGCGCCACATTGCGAACTATCGGCAAGTCTTTGCCGAGTGCGTTTGCAGCAATGAGCCCAGCTTGTATACTTTTGAGCATGTGTTTCCCTCTGCGGGTGGCAGCGTCTGGCCATGGAGGACAATATCGTGAAAGGAAGCTACGAGTTCCACATTCAGGAGCTTGCGCTCCACTTAGTTGCAACAGCCAGCAACGATGAACATGCTAGACTTTTGTTTAGCATCCGAAAGTGTGAGTGGGCAGGGAAGGCTCCCGCCACAAGAAAGTATTGGGGCATCCGCTCGTATTCACAGAGACATTTTGGGATTCAATTCGAAGAGAAGACTCGTGTTCGTCGGGTCTGCCTTCCAATGGCCGTCAGTTCGTGCGCTGCCGAGGCCGCTACAGCGCGAGATTCCGGCGATGTGAGAGCATGGGCCGGTCCATCGATTGCTGCTGCATGGAGTGCTGGGCTGGGAACTCGTCTCGGGAGAGCCCACGTCCACGAATTGGCTTCAGAAGCATAGACTCCGGCTGTGCGAGCTGCTTCTAACCTGTGATTCTTCAGGATTCCTCCGTAGCCGCTTCCATTCAAAACTCGGGTTTCCCGGATTGGCATGCCGCAGCCAGACGCAAATCCGGCCTCTAGTTCAGGTCCCGGATGGTTTTCTAATGGGTTGAGTGCAGAAGGGTATGTGTGCGCACTTCCATTTGTCGAGCACGTTGTTGCTCGCCGCCGTGGAGGCCAGTCCTCCTTCACCAGGGCTAACTCTGCGCATCCTGCCTGCAAGACCGATACGAACAGTTGAAAGATCTGGGTTTTGTAGGTTCGGCTTTCGTGAGGTGGCTGGATGAAGTGCTCAAGGCCGAACGAGCCGCCATGGCTGCGGCCATGGTTAAGCACATGGAGGATCACCATCGCCACTTGCGTCTTGATTTGCAGATAAAGTGGACGGGGTCGGTGCGACAACTTCATGTGAATGGTGATCTTCTCAGGCTGAAAAGATTCCAAGATTGGAGCGAACTACAGGCACGCCACAGAGTGAGCCCTGCTGTGGTGCCGGTGTGGGGCTGTACCTGCCATTGGAGGCTAAGAATGCCAAGTCTGAGATGCAGAAGGCCTCTTGGATCTGTTTGCCAGGCTTGCCCCCGTGCACGTCCTCAGTAGATTCCTTGACATGCTTTGAGGCTGCCTTGTCGGCAGCACAGGACTGCAATTAAAGTTCTTGTTTCATTTCAGAACTGTACTGGCCCTCTCCAGAGTCCAGATTGGCATATATGAGGCTGCTCCCAAGAGCTTTTCGAGGCTCCATGAGACTCTAGACTCCAGAAGTGCAAGTATGAAGACCTCCGCTGGCAGGACTTTGGTGGTGCAACTGGGGTGTCTTGCTTGCCAAAATGACAGAATGACAGAGATTCACGTCTTGCATCGTCACCTCCGCTGTCTCACAGGGATCCATTGATGCCGAGAGGGCCAGGCTGAAGTCCTTAGCCGAGACCCTGGAGAAAGAGCGAGACACTGGGACACAGAAACAGCTCTGGCTCGGGCGCTCTCTCTCTCTCTCTCTCTCTCTCTCTCTCTCTCTCTCTCTGTGTCGACAGTGTGGCTCTGTGGCTCTGCTGTCTTGGGCTTTTCCTGCAGGAGGAACTGAATCAGTGGAAAACCTCTGCCTTTGTCCAGATCAGCGACCATAAAAGTGCTGCGGCTCTGCTCATGTTGGCTTTTCTGGTCGTGACGTGACGAGAAGGGTCCTAGCATGTGCGGTAGAGACCGACAGGTTGCCAATGCTGCAGCAGCCGCAATTGCGCTTGAGAGCGGAAGTGCTGCCAAGTTCAGATGGAAGCTTGCGACGGCAAGAATAGTGAACCTTCTTGGAAACCGAAACAAGATTTCACTGGTGGACAAGATGAAGAAGAACATGAAAGCATCCATGCTCGCAACGATGCCAGAGTTTAATGATGCCGCCAGGTGTGTCATTTAGCCATGTTATGTCATTATGCTGTTGCTAGCACATGTCATTGGTAGATATGGCCTGGCTGCCCATGAGGTTCCAGCTGAGAGGCACAAGACAATCTCAGTGGTTTGGGAAGAAAGGAGTCCCATGGAGATGCTTCTGAGGGGGGTGCCCTGCTTGCGGCGAGTCGTTACCAGCTACGTCTTCGAGCTAATTTTCGTCTCGCTCATCCTCCTGAACTGCATTTCCATGATGGTTCAGATCGAGTTTTTTGGGCTGTTTCTGGCCACCAGCATGGGCATCAAAACCGGGATGGAGACAGACTACAACGAGATTTTCTACAACATCGAGCTGGGTTTTGGTCTTGTGTTTTCAGCCGAGATCCTTGTCAAGTTCGTTGCCTACGGGTTGTTGGATTTCTGGAAATTTGGCTGGAACTTGCTGGACCTGTTTATTGCAAGTTCCCCAGTTCAGTGACAACCGTGAGTGAAAGAACACTTGGCATTCATGTGTGTTTGTGGATGGTGCATGAGCTTGGGGCAGTCCAGAAGCACTTGCAGGTTCTGACCTGGGCAATCGACGCGGGAGGGCTTGCGGTTGAGATCAATCCAATGGTGTTTCCAACTAAGTGGCTGCACATAGGTGTCTCATGGAATCCACGAGTGAGGAGAGAATCTCGCAGAATACGCCGAGGTTCCGCATGTTGCGGAAGCTTGGCTGCAAGCTTCCATCCGGTTCTGTGGGAAGAGGTTTCTCGCCGCTGCAGGATTGCAAAGCTTGGCCGAATCGTGTCTTTGCTGGAATGATGCTCGGACTGCTCAAACTTGGCAGCATGCATGCAGCCAAGGTGCGAGTGTTAAAGGTCATTCAGCGATTTGACTCGCTTCACCTCCTGTTGGGCTCGATCAGGGCGTCTTTTGATATACTGGCATGGCAGCCCGGCTAGCCCTTTCTGTTCATCTGTTGGAAGCATCTTAGCAGAGTTTCAGGTCTGCGCCGCTCTTGCATACAGTCCAGGTCTGCGCTCGTCCTCCTTATTCTGATGACGGTTTGTGCTCTGGCTTTGTCCCAATTTCTGCAGGGTTGGTGGCCCGGCACGAAATCGCTTAAAGATATCGCACCGATCCTCGCCGCTTCCCTTGTCAGTTCTGGACTCACCAATTTCAGGCAGATGGTTGCTTGACCGAGGATTGAAGCTTCCAGCAGTTCGGATGACATCGTTCGGCAAGAAGTCTGGAAGCTGTTCGGAACCGTGGGGCGTTCCATCGTCTCGATGTTTGAGCTAACGCTCGCCAACTACTCAGGCTGGCCGGACTTTGCAGTGCAAATGCAACAGCTCTCCACAAATACCAGGCAGGGGCAGGGGGGGTTTGATGCTGCCAGGCATTACACGATCTCTGATGGAGAATGTCAGTGCTTGGTTCGCAGCCGGAGCCTCTGAGGAGATCCACTCTTAGTGACAGTGTGCGTTGTCTGATGAAACCAGGTCGCGATTCTCATTTACAAGCTTGTAGTGGGCTTTGCCGTGCTGAAGGCCGTACAGATCAAGCAAGCACGAATGCTGTCGGCCTTGGCTTGCAGGGATTGGCCGCACTATCATGCAAACGAGCGCCCGCAGGTTATCACAGGCATCTTCATCCAACAGACCATGCGTGTAGCCAACGAAGACGACGAACTCCTCCTCTTGCAGAAGAAACGGCTCGTGGACAGCCATGCAAAAGGTGTAGCTTGGCAATATGCAGTCGGCCAAGAATCCAATTTCTCTGGGTTCACGTCGTCATATTCAATTTCCAATAATGCCATCGTTGTCAACGGACATGTGCCGCTTGGTGTGACGACTGCTTTTACCACCCTCTTGAATCTTGCGAGTGTCACTCGTGTGTTTCGCCTTTTCGAGATCACAGCCATTTGTTCTGATCACCAATTTGAAATATTTTGAGTTGTATCGATAGGTCGTCGCACCGTCGCAAAAGTAGAAAGTAGTAGCAATAGTAGTAGCAGTAGTAGTAGTAGCAGCAGGAGTAGTAGTAGTAGTAGTAGCAGTAGTAGTAGTACAGTACTAGTACTAGTACTAGTACTAGTACTAGTACTAGTACTAGTACTAGGAGCCGGAGTCGGAGCAGGAGTAGGAGTCGGAGTGGGAGTAGGAGTAGTGGTGGTGGTGGTAGTAGTAGTAGTAGTACAAGTAGTAGTACAGAAGTAGTAAGTAGTACAAGTAGTAGTACAAGTACGTAGTAGTACAAGTACAAGTAGTACAAGTAGTAGTAGTAGTAGTAGTAGTAGTAGTAGTAGTAGTAGCAGCAGCAGCAGCAGCAGGAGGAGTAGTAGTAGTAGTAGCAACAGCTGCAGCAGCAGCATGCAGCAGCAGCAGTAGTAGTAGCGCACGGTGCGGCAGCATTTGTGCGACCTGCGGGAGTTTGGATCGACGCCATGCTTGACTCCGTTGTCCGCCCCACAGCCTGCTGGAGCTTGGCCATCCGCAGCCACCACCGGCGAGCGAGGCCTCGACCAGGAGAGTCGCCTCAAGTACTCGCAGGCAAAGGGGCCTGCCAACCAAGCTCCGTCAGAATGGCTGCGGGCAAGGGGGCTGGGGAAGCCAGCGATGGGGCCAGCAAGGGTCACAGGGCCGTGAACAGTCGGAGGGGGAGTAGGACATTCGCCTCCTCACGCGATTTTGCCTACGCCCGCCACGAGGACGAGTTCAGCCAGATGAGGCCGGAGCGTGGATTCATGCTCAACATCGGAATGAAGGGGGGTCAACAGCTTCAACAAATTTTGCCAAATGGCGGTGACGTGGCACGACCAGAATGGAAAAACCGAAGGGGACCGCGGGCGGTTCCATTTTGGGAATGTTGAAACACTGGAAAGAGACTTCGTGCTTTGGAAGCTTCCCAAGAGATGCGGGAGATGGTGCAGTGATGGTGCAGTGATGGTGCTAAATTTGGCGTGGAAGTTGGAAAAGGAGAAGCTGGAGCCAGCCCAGGGAATTCCACTCATGATACAAAACCTAGTGTTGGAGACGTTTGTCCAGCTGGAGGCCACCACGGTAGCGCGCGATCTGTTTGTTGCTCAAGATGAAGGTCCAGTTCAACTTGAGACACAGGACGAAAAGGACTTTCTGGGCCAGACGAAAGCACTTGGTTTTACCATGGTTGGGGAATCGCTTCCTGCCGGGCTCGTCCACATTCGCAAGCCGGAGAAGCTTGTGCCGGATGACGAGCAGATGCTCCAGGAAATTGGGGATGAGATTGTGCATGCAGCACTAGACGAGGTCACTCGGAGACACAGTGAGAAGAGGTGTCAAGAGATGTCAAGAGAGTGTCCACGTTGCTCGGATCTTGGTGCTGCATTTGTCATGGTCACATCGCTCACCAATGCAATGCCTACACAGTGTTTCCAGGTACCACGCGGATTCCACGTGCAAGCGCTTTCAGCTTGCCTTCATGCTCTGGAATGTCGTTTCTGAATGCAGTGAAGCCAGTGACTGAAGCCATGTGCACATAGACATCTGGAGTTTAACTACGTTTGATTCCTCGTTTTTATTGGGGCTGTCGGCAAGGGTAGTCGCATCTTCGACATGCCCGTACATAGCCGCGGAGTGACGTTCCCGAACGTTTGCGCCGCGGGAAAAGGAGGGAAGTAGAAGTAGAAGTAGACGTAGAAGTAGACGTAGAAGTAGACTTCGTAGCAGACGTCGCAGTAGAAGTCGCAGTAGAAGTAAAAGTAGACGTAGAAGTAGACGTAGTCGTAGACGTAGTCGTAGACGTAGACCTAGTAGAAGAAGCAGAAGCACACAAACAAAAGTAATTGTAGCAGTAGCTGCAGTAGATTCAGCGGCCGTAGCAGCAGTAGCGGTGCCAGTGAAAGAAACACCAAAGGAATTAGATTGGCACCATGGCAGGCCATTTCTGTTCATTATTCTGAGCCTTGCTAAGTTGCAGAGAAGTTTCATACTCTGTGCGTCGTGCGGCTCCAGGTCGGTATGTTGTTTCGTGAGTTGGATTCTGACGGCAGTGGCGCCCTGGACGAAGGGGAGTTCAAAGAGGCTCTGAAGGATCCGCGGTTCAAGATTTGGATGGCGGCCTTGGACCTGCAATCCTCGGATGCGGAAAATCTCTTCAAGCTGCTCGATGATGGAGACGGCCAAATTTCTTATCAAGAGTTCCTTGCTGGAGCGAAGAGATTAAAAGGCACAGCGCAATCCATAGATTTGGTGACTCTGATGCGGAGCAGCGGCGCCTCGGAATAGTTTGCAGGCTTGTGCTGTGTGGAAAAACTGTACAGGCCGCTCGAGTTAGCAGGCCAGCAAGTCCAGAAGCCAAGGGCAGATGCAAGTTGACATCCAAGAGCTGCGCCGCTCATTCTGACATTCGGGGCTAGGCTATGTGTGATTTTTCTCGTTCGACAACTGCAGCAGTATGACCAAACCCTGTGTAGATCGCAGGAAGCACTGTGGACAAGATGGCGGAGAAGCTAACGCTTATCAGACATTGAGCTGTGACGACGAAGAAAGGTCTTTCTTCATGTCGGGTTTCTTCAACATTTTCCCATGCACATGGGGGCTTAGCATCTGATGTGGCACGAAGAGAAGCAAACATAAACGAATCCTCAGAAACCCGTTCACCGAGTTCGAGAACGTGGGGGAATCCAACACGGATTCACACGCATTTTGGAAGAGCGCTGTCAGTTGAAGTTGCGTGGTGGCATCCCCCAATCTCGTTTGCAAGTCCTGAAAGGATGCTTGCAGACGATGAGCCATCCATGTTCTCTTCTTCACATGGAAGCTCAGTTGCTGATGTTCCAGGAGGAACGGCGAGTAGGCTAGATGCACCTCTAACAGTCGTTTACGCCCCGCAACGTCGACAACATTTGCTGCATTTCGTACAGCCGGCCTGTGACCTTTTTGCATGAAGGCGAAGTCACTCACTGAGCTTACATGTGTTGGAATTTGCTTGACTTCTTTGCTGCGTTTGTTGGACCTACGAAGACGAACGCAAACGAGTCGGAGACCCACTCACCGACTTCGAGAACACGGGGGATTCCAACACGGATCCACACGCAATGTTGCAGAGCACTGTCAGCTGAACTTGGCATGATGGCATCCCCCAATCTCATGCGCAAGTCCTGAAAACATGCTTGCTGGCGGTGGGTCCCATTAATGTGCTCTCTTCACAAGGAAGCTCAGTTGCTGATGTTCCAGGAGGAACGGCGAGTAAGCTATATGCATGTTTAAAGGTCTCTTCAAGCCGTTACGTCGACAGCTTGCATTTCGTACAGTCGGCCCGTGACTTTCTGATGACGAAGTCGCTCACTGAGCTTACATGTGTTGGAATTTCTTTGACTTGTTTGCTGCGTTTGTTGGTGCTACGAAGACGAACGTAAACGAGTCTGGAAACACCCATTCATTCACCCACGTCGAGATCCCGGGGGGATGCAACATGCACCCACAGGCAGTGTGCAGAGTGCCTTCAGTTGAACTTGTGCATGGTGGCATCCCCCAAATCTCGTTTGCAAGTCCTGAAAGGATTTTTGCAGACGATGGGTCACGTTAATGTACTCTCCACACGGAAGCTCAGTTGTTGCGCGGAGTCATACTGAGTGAGCTAGACACGTCTGGAAAATTTCTTGCAAACCGTCGTTTCGAACATATCCTCTACGTTTCGCACTGTCGTAGGCTTGTGATTTTGTCTTGGAGCGGCGACGTGGCTAATTGGGCTTTCACGTGTTGGAATTCCTTGACTTGTTTGCCGGACCTGCGGCAAGCGATTGAGTATTGTTGGCCTGCAGCTGCACAACGACAGTCAGCAGTCGCGAACGCTCCTGTTTGCGCCTCGACTTCTGGTCCTGTCATGTCCAGAAAGATTCCATCCCCCGAGAAAGGGGTAGGCACGTTCTGGGAGTAACATCTTTCTATGTGATTCAAGCCTTACACTTTACACTACGATTGCAAATAAGGCTGTGGAGAGCTCACCGAGGAACTCCAGGCTCTGTGACTGCCTCCATCGTGCAAGCCGGGCGGATTCAGAGCCAGAGCCAGGCTGCATGGAGAGTGCGGCAAGTGAAACAGCCGTTTTGGCCGCGCAGGGCTCCCCAGATTCCCCAGCCGTAGCCTTCGGATCTCAAGCGTGCGACACAAATCGCCGTGGCTTATCGTGACAGGCTCGCTCAGCTGCCGGTCCCAACCTCAGGTCCTGCCGCGTGACAGGGCGGCTGCCATTCTTTCGCAGGACGTTCTGCCGGCCTGGGAGTATTTAGCTCAGATGAAGGCTGGCTGTTGAAGCAGCTGCATAGATCGGCAGGGTGATTGGCTGGGCTTCTGCCAGGCTGGAAGTCTGGAAACCAACGCAGGGACCTTCGGTTGTTGGTCTCGCACGCTCTCACATGCCTCGCAATCGTCAGTTCTTCGCATTCTTCGCACGCTAAGATTTGCATGCTTTGGTAATGTTGCCTAGGCCATTGGTCTGGGTCGGCTGATCTCCCGCTTGGACAGCGTCTGCACTATTGCAGCTCGTGGCCATGCATGTGCTATTTCATGCAGCGAGGAGCACGACCACACCGACGAGCCCGGTTCGTCCAAGCCTCAACTTGAAAAGACCAGTGCCCCCCAATCCCCACTGTGCGGTTGATGCATGTCCGCTAGTGAACTTCATGCTTGCAGCGCTCCGAACAATGTGCAGTTGTAAAAGATCCCAGTAGCTGGCTTCAGTAGGTGCTGCTCTTTGCAGAGGCTTCAGCGAGAAGTGAATCTCCTACATGACCTGCGTGGCCCAGGCAGCAGATAGGGGTGGCGTCGGGTCCCGTCCTGCCATCTCCTTGTCGAAAGGTGGACTGCAGCCAGCAGCAGTGACCGTGGCTGCTTGTCGTCTCGCGGTTGAGACAGGGCAGGTGCAAGCTCATGAACTGAAGCTCTCCCGAAAACCTACCACGGATGTCGTCCGCACCCAAGAAGTTCCAGCAATATTGCTTGATCTCGGCCTAGAGCTAGTCCTGCGGACTCAACACCAAAATGCCTGCCACAACACTGAGCCAAGCAGAGAGTGCCCCCTGGAACAGGCAGCCGATGCCTTGAAGCTAGTCCGCCATCTGGCGAGAGTTCGCCAACCAGGCACCACTGGGGCATTCCCCAAGCGAGAAGTTTGCAAAAAGCCTGCACTGCACTCAGCTTTGCAGGCCCATGGCACCGAGTGTGGATTGCCTGTGGCGGTGAGGTGGAATAGGCTTCCCGTCAGAAGCGAAACTGCAAGCGAAGTTGCCCGAAGTGGCCGCAAAAAATCCTGCAATCAAGAGGTTTGCCAGCACTATCCAGCACCTGTGTGAGACCGCAGAATCTGTGTGGAAAGTCAAGGACAGCACGGCCAGCGGCATGCATCTCCCAAGATCTCCTCCTGGTCTCTGCTAGTGCATCCAGCGCATTCTGCATGCATGCGGGGCCAGAAGCCTCTGTCCTATACAGCTTCTAAGCGCGGCAATTCCAGTATCCAAATCCCACAGCACCTGCAGTTCGTAGTGGTTCCATATGGAAGCCGGACTGGTGACGGAAGGTTGGATGATTCAGCTTCAGGGCATATTGGTAACACTGGCCAAGAAGCATCAATTTCTCCTGCTAGGTGCAGTCCATCCTGGCTGCGTCAATTCCTGAGACCTGCTCGGCGACAGTGTTCTTGACGTAGGCATTCAACATGCCACCCGCACCAGGTGTATCTAGTTGGAGCTGGTCCGGGATCAGCAAAGCTGCTGACGCTACGAGCGCTGGAGGCCGACACTCATTGAGCCTAGTAGCCTTCACCGTTGGAAACTGGCAGGTGTTGCAAGCTTGCGATGTGGTTCTGTACGACCGGTTAGCTCAGGAGGCGAAGCTGCAACATCAATTCTGTACAAACTTCTCGAGCTTTGCGTTGTTTCCCGTCTCTGAAGAAGGAGCGGTGGGCGCAGGCATTTGGCTCCAGTTCATGCAACCTCATCCGATACTAGAACTCCAAAGCGCTCGCGGCCGTTCGCCCACTGGTTGCAGAGGCACGAGCTCCTCGCAGCAACATGCAGCACTGTCCATTTTTGCCGGCAGGACGCAGGGATCAATTTTGCCCCGGTGAATGTTGACTGCCACCCAGAGGCTGCCGTCTAAACGAACTAGAAAAAGGCAGGCAAGGTCGATTAGCAGAAGCGAAATGACTTGCAAGGCATATCGGTATGTTTGTATGTTTGGGAATGTTTGACACCTAGTGGACCAGCCCCCCGCACAGGCTCCATGCGAAGCAATTCCCAAAGCAAAGCTGCACAGGTCCTTGCCCGTATTGGTTGCCTTTGCTGCGGCAGTCTTTTCAACACCTGCGAAGGCTGCTGGTTGACTACCCTGCATACAGTAATTCAGAATTCAGCTCTCGTGGGGACGTCATCTTTCAGGCAGCAGCGCCGAGAAGACAGACAGCTGGAACTTCTGCATTTCTGGGCCAGGACAAGTCACAAGCAGACCGCATAGAGGCACACATCACAGAGCATGTTGCTGGTTCCCGGGTGATACACATGTCGAAGGCACTCCGTCCTTCACTCAGCCCTGTGGGAGACCTGGGCGATGATGTCGCGCCGTCGGCATTCTGGCCGGTGGTTCCACTCCACACTGGCTTGAAAGCGGTGGAGCCTTCGAAACATTCACCTCTCTGGAAAGTGGTTGGGCGAAGCCGAAAGCCTGTGGCGAAGCACAGCCATCCGCACATGGACATCGAGGCAGGCTTAAAGCAATGACTAATTTAGCTTTATGTGGCTTTGCTCCTTTGGAGGCTTTTTTCTCATCGACCGTTGCTGGCCAATGGGTGGCCTTCGGCATGGTCTGGCTGCTTCTCCTGCGTCTCAGTCACTTCGCGGCACTTTGAGTGGACAAACGTCCAAAGCGTGGCAGCCACTTCCACTTTGCTTCTGTCTGCGTGGCAGGTTTGTTTATTCACCAGCTGGCGCTGGAATCCTGCCTCTCTCACGCCACCCGTCGTTAACAGCTGACAGGAATGCTTTCAAGCTTTGCCTGTGCTCAGGTGATCGCCCTGGGCGTCTGGGTGCTGGTCGGGTGCTCTGTGTCAGTATCAGTAGAAGCAAGGAGCGGCCAGAACCTTGCAAATTCTGTGCCCCCGGGGAAGGCAGCCATGGGCTTCCTTGCCTGGACCTTTGCTTCCGCCGGGTCCAGTGCTGGCGAGAAGTGGCTTGATGGCTACGTGATGGAGCTGGTGCTCTCGATGGTTGCTTTGCTGCAATGCAAAGGGTTGTGTTTTTGCAAAGTGAGCAGTTCGACCCGACATGACCCGACAGGAGAACATCTTCCTGTACCACATGATCTTGGTCTCTTTCAAAGTTCCTGCAAAGATGGCACGCTACGCGCTCTTCCTCGTGTCCATCTTCCAGATGCTTTTCCAGATGCTACTTGGCCATCTTGGTTCAAGGTGACTTATGGGTTTGGACTTTGGCGGCCGACAGGCATGTCGGAGATGAGGTGATGGATTCGCACGAGCTTTCAGCATTACACGCTGTGCCAACAAACTTGCAAGGTTCATGTTCATGGGCATCGCAGTTGGTAGCCCAGTCATCTTGTCGGGTCTTGCCGTGGTGATGTAGCCAAACGTAGCAGCTGTACCGAGGCCTGGATTCGGGACTTGAAGGTGTTGCCATACCTCCTGGGTGCGTGGCTGGTGCTGGTCGGTCTTCAAACCATGCGCGCCCTGATTGCTGTAATTATTGACCCGTTAGGGTTCCAGCTGATGATAGCTCCTTGCTTGCCGCGCACGCACGCATCGCACAATGTGTTTTGCAAGCACACAATGGACCGTGCAAAGAAAGAGGTGTTCAGGTTTAAAGAGCAGGACTGCTAGCCAAGGTGATGATGACCACGAAGGTGCACTTCTGATCTATCAGCCGGAGAGGGCCTGGTGCAGTCATGCTTGTGCTCCCTGCAGTGCTATCAGGCTTTGATGCTGGCAATTCTGAGTCGTATAAGACCTTCCGGATGGCCATGGGAGATCGGCTGCTGCCCCATTACGAAGCTGACGGCAGCGTTTTCGTGTACAAGCTACCTGGCGTGACTATGTCTGCAGCATGCGGATCCGTTTTCAGTTGTGCTCGGAATGCCAGGAGCGGCCGCATCTGTGCCGCGCAGACGCAAGAAATGCGGTGGGAACACCTGCAAGAATCCGGCAGAAGTCAAGCGGACCAAGGTCACCATGATGGGGCCGGTGACGTGCTGCCTGTTACTGGTAATGTTCGCAATGGAGGCACGGGATCGCTTGTCACTGTAGCGGGATGCATGCCAGCTTGTTTCTTACATGTGTTTCACAACCTGCGCTGAGGTGGATGTGACTCTGACCAAGATAGAGGAGATTGACAGCCACTTCATCGCCTGGTCTTCGTCCGTCCTGGCAGCCCGGCTTGCGCTGGCAGTTTGTTGCCCTCGGGCTGTGAACGGAAGGCACACTTCAACGGAACAAACGCCAGCTCCGTAGATTTGTTGGCTTTTGTCACCCCCAGTCTGCACAGGCATATTTCAACTCGCTTCTTATGTTTAGTATGCAGTCGTCGTTTTGGTGAGGGCGGGCTGGTGGTTGAGTTCAAGCGGTTTTAAGTGCAGCCGGGCCTAACGCAGTTGACCCTGAAGACCCACGACGGCGCTTCAGCTCGGGAGCTGTCCTCAGCTGGGCCCAGCTACCTATGTTGGCAGCTTCCCCAGCCGGGATACTCGGACAGGGGTTCGCTGCATTTCGCGATATTCCCTCGTTGTCATTTAGGGGCCCTTTCCCGGCTAGCGGCTAGATGTCCAGGCTTCCTCTGCATTTCTCGCCAGGGCGTCTGGACGGAGTATTATCCGCTGAAGATATGAAGCAACTGTCAAGTGCTAGAGAGGGAGGCGTCTTTCGGTTCCACGGAGTTCTTGCTGTCACTGGTGGAGTTTGGATGGCATACTCGTTTGTCAAGGTCTAGGTTCAGGCGAGTGTGATGGAAGAACAAATAGAGATTACATCGCACCGTTTCAGAAGTCGCTCCTCCAGCCCGAAGCGCTGTGGAGCCCTTGGTCTTTCAGTTTCTTGCATAGCAATGCCTCGCGGATTCTTGTGAGAGCAGGCTTCCATCTCGGCTAAACGTCCCGGGGTTCCGTGACTTCCTCCTTCAAGCAAGCTCGTTGAGATGTTCCAACCCTTGCATTGCAAGTCTTCATGACTGCATGCCGGTGCTGGACACACATGCTTGCACGGGCATCTCTGTCATGTCTCAGCAGCCCCATGCAGCATAGAGCTTTCGTCCCAGCCCGCGGCTCCAAGGGGCAAGGTTCTCGTCGGAAGATGTAGACCCCGCCTGGAAACATGCTGTGCCTAAGTTTATGCAAGATAACATTGGAAGAAGATTGCTTGTGACAGTTGCGATAGCGCGACCGCGGTTCACCATGAAGGCGACCTTGCGCGGCAGTCAAGCCCAGGATCCTAAAGTCCTAGAGGAGCTGAACGCCTGAAGGTTACAAAGAGATTGCGCCTCATGACAAGCCCAGCACGCTGGTTCCAATGCCAAACAAGTAAAAGTCGTGGGTGTTGCCGTCGTGGCCGGTTGCCCTGCTTGCTGATGTACCCGTCTGGAATCTGCGCTGCTTGAGGCCTGAGTCGGTGATGAAGTTGCTGATCGTCAATGTCAGTTCAGCTCTTGAGCAAAAGTTGAAACGATTAAAGGCACTTCAAAAGCTCACGAGCGGTTCAAGCTTCACAGGTCCCTCCCTCTTCTTTCCTTGAAGCTATGTCGAGCCAGGGAGACCAGCTGGACAAAATGTCTGCTTTGCTGGCTGAAGTAGCAGCTCAGCTCGAACAAGTGAAGCTGCAAGGATCACGGCGCGAAGAGCAGCAACAGGACCTCACGGCACGCATGACCCAGTTGGAAGCACGCATGGACGCTCCACAGTCTTCGGCTGCTGTGCTCATTCCGACTCAGCTGCAGCCACAGTCCTTCACAGTTCCGCTAGCACAGGGGGTAGACCTCAACGCCCCGGCTACAGTCGGGCAGTGCATGGAATTGGTGCAGATGGCGATGCAGCAAAAGGTCGCCCCAGCTCTGGGAGCAGTGTACTCCTCCTTGTCCACCTCACAGGTGAGGACAAACGAGCGAGTGGGCAACCTAGAGCAGCAGGTTCGGGCCCTTCGCATCCGCACAGCATGGGCTGAGAAGGATATGCTCTTTTCCCAGATCGAGCATGCCAAGCGCACCATCGTATGCCGCAATTTCCCTACGTGGCAGACGGAGGCAGACCGTCGCCTCACAGTGGAGAAGGCCCTTGCGAAAGCTGGGCTGTGGAACATCGATGGCATGTGGGACCTGGCCACGACTCGGCTAAACACTGGCACGCCAGGCAAGCCGGAGCTCTCTGCCACGTCCATCCTCACAGTCCCTTCCCTCACGATCCGGAAGCGGATCTTGGAGGTAGCCGACAGGGTGTACCCTTGGTACTTCCACCAGGAGAAGCCTGGGACAACGGATGAAGCCAAGGAGTCCGAAGAGGCAAAGGACAGTTCCGAAGGGACAGCGGAGAAGTCCACGGCTGAGCCCTCACAGGCAGAAGGGTCTAAAGACACTGCCAAGACCTACGAGTACAAGGGTGGCGGTCCTGTAAAGCTTTCTCCTGGAGTCACACAGTTTGAACGCCGGCTTGCCTCGCCGCTCCAGGGACTCATGAACGCTTACAGGGCGGCTTTCAGCAAGTTCACCAAAGAGCCGCTGGTACCGAGGTGGAAGACCTTGGCACTGGTTGACTCTAAAGAGGCTTGGCTGGGCCGCATAGTGTACCGTCGTGGGGTCCCTTCACAGACGACCTCCACAGGAACCCTCACAGACTGGGAGTGTGAGATCCATATCCCGGAGGAACATGCCACCAAGCTCTTGGAGACCTGGCGAAGCATCTGGTACGACCAATTGCGACAGCAGGTCAACCAGACGACTGTCGAGCAGGAAGCTTTTGACAGTGCAGCTCGGCTCACAGCCCACAACTATGCAGAGGCCAAGAGACTTAGCAGGTTCCTGACCAAGGCCATCCCAGAGTACAACGAGGGCGAGGACGAAGGCCTGGATCACTGGATTGCCAGGTTCCGGTACGAGTTCCCATGGCCGGTGAAGTTCGTCCAAGTCCCACCGGATGCGGAAGAGAGGACACACTTCACAGGACTCAGGTCCACCGAGGAACTCATGGAGGAAATGGCAGCCCAAGAGCAGGAGGCAGCCTTCACAGTGGACCCGGAGCATGGAGGTGTGGGGGAGATGATCGACGTGACCCCTCACGTGAAGCGCACTCACAGCGATGCAGCCTCCGCTGTCAGTGGCATCAGCTCGGCTAGCGTCCCGAGTTCGGGTCTTCCTCCCCCACAGCCCACCAAGGCTCGGCCGAGCTTCTATCCGTTTGGCTCACAGGCGGAGCTAGAGGGCGCAGTCGAGGGGGCCAAGATCGCCCACATCAACAACGGTGGGGTCCCTACCGACTACTCACAGGAGGACTGGGAGGCATGGTGCATCAAGCGCCGTGCCGCTGGCTCGCAGTGATGGTTTGGCAAGCGCGCCCTCTCTTCCTTGCAATCTTCCGTAGCAGCTGCGCGACCACATTTTTCACAGGCTGCTGCCTCTTGTACAATAGCAGACCCAGACCGTACCACACAGCTGGGCAAAAACGAGTTGAATCGTTCTGGCACGCCACCTAAAGGCGAGCTGGGTGCGCTGAGCCACTATTGTAACTCTAGTCCATCTACACTTCACAGTTTTACTTTTCCAGGTTGCTCTGAGAGTTGTTCTAGTGTGCTTTCGGCGACGAAGTGCCCCACAGACCCCACTCCACCACCAGGACACCCCCCCCCTCACAGACCCGAACACAATACCACCGTCACCTCAGGTCACAAACAGCACGGCAGCAGCGAGCACGCCGCCGCATCACCACCAGATCTCGCAGCAGGCGGGAATACAGAGCTTGGAGGAATGCTCTATCCACCTCTCCAACCCCTAGTTGTGGTTTGGGCTCCAGAGCTAGGATCAACAACCAAAAGCCTTTATACGGCCCCACGCCGACTGCCCCAACCCCGGGCGGCTTACAGCCTGTTTCCACCAGGGCCTCCCTTCAGGGACGAGGCCCGCAGTTTCGCTCTTGCAGACGTTTTCACCGCCTTTTGGCGAAAGCCCCCGATATGAGAGTGAAGAAACACCCACCTCAGAATCGGTCAACCCCCAATCATTTGAGGCTTCGAACATCGGAGCCTGCTACCCCCGCAACTGGCCATTTTGGCCCGCCCGCCTCTCCAACGGAAGGCTCCTCCACCTCTCACAGCGGACACCCTCCAAGCCTCCCTTCCCTCTCCACCCATACCCCCCCCCTTCACAGCCTCAGCGGAACAGTGGCCGTGACTCTTGGACCGAAGCCCACGATGCTCAGAACAAGCAGCACACACGCGCACATTGGTTCAAGACTCACTGCCGCAGCCCACAAGAGCATGGCAGACAGAGGCACTCCACACAGCTGCGCTCCAAAGTTCGCCTGAAGGGAGGATTTTGGAACACCACGGGCCTTCTTGAAGCTGGCAAGATCCACACCCTGATCAAGATCATGCAGAAGCATGGTCTTGACTGGCTGGCCCTCACAGAGACCCATGTGAAACAACAGGATCGCTTCATGATCGATGGGTACACTGTCACACACAGCGCAGATGACAAACTGGATGCCCAGGGAAACCCGGTTCAAACCTTCACGGGAGTGTCCTTGATTACATCCCCGCGGCTCACACCATGCATCCTGGACATCGTTGCCACCGACGGTCGTTTTCTCTCTTTCAAGATCGACACGGCGGAGGCCCCTCTCACAGTCCAGGTGGTGTATGCTCCTCACAATCAGCGTGAGCAGCCGGTCCGCGACGCATTTTGGCAGTCGCTTGGAGACATCATTCACAGGCACCCCGCCAGCGAACCTCTGTTATTGGTGGGTGACTTTAACGCGCAACTGCTCGACGAGCTATCCGCCAATCGCGGCAGCGTCGGACCCTACGCCCACTTTGGAGCAAATGTGGCCGATGAGACCCTAGCTTCACAGGCTGGAGAGGACGACTCATTGTCCAACCATGCACAGCTGTTCGAGATGTCGGTCAGCCACGACTTGTGTTTCCCCCAGACGTGGATGGCTAAAGACGAGGGTCATCGGATGACACACCAGCGACCGAACGGTGACCTGGTACAGCTGGACCACGCCATCACTAAGTTCGCCTGGAAGAATATGGTCACGGATGTCCATACTCTCCCGAACGTTGCCCTCAACAGCAACCACTTTCTCACCAGAGTCACACTTTCCTTACACACCGCCTGCCACAAGCGCGCCGCACCCGCCCCCAGGCTTACCCGTCATCCAGATGCACAGTCCATTCTCTCCTTCAACACTCACTTCACAGAAGCCCTCCAGCTTCAGCCAGCCTTCGAGGAGCCTGCCCCACCCGACGCTGAAACAGTGGACGCTTCCCCCCAGCCTTCACAGTCGTGCACGGACCAGCAGAGGCTGGACCGCCAATGGAAATCAATCAAGGATTCCATTCTGCAGTCCATGGAGATGCATATCCCCACACAGGCCAGCAAGCCCAAGCACCCTTGGATCAGCCAGCAGACGTGGGAGCTCATAGAGCAGCGAACCGCCGCTCGTCAAAGCCAGAACCTGGAGACGGAGCGCCTCTTACACAAGACCATCCGCTCACAGGCCCGCCAGGACAAGCAGCAATGGCTCAAGGATCGTCTCCAGGAGAGCGAAGAGACAATAGACGCGCGGGAAAAGTGTCGTTGGATCAAGCGCATTCGCTCAGACTACAGGCCTCGCACGGTCACCCTGCACGACCCCAATGGCAAGCCCACCAGCTACAGCAAGCAGGCGGATACTTTCGCCAAACATTTGTCGGAAGTACAGTGGGCCCCCCCACCGGCTGCCTACACAGGCCCCACCCACAAGCTGACTGACGACAGCCCAGTCAACATGGCACCCATCACGATGGAGGAGCTCAACAAAACCCTCAAAGGTATGGCCTCACACAAAGCACCAGGCCCGGACCAAATTCCGGCGGAGGCTCTCCAATGGCTTACACCAGCCAACCGACAGCCGCTTTTAGACCTCTACAACGAAGCTTTACTCACAGGCCTAGTACCGGAAGAATGGTCTACAGCAGTGGTTGCGGAGATTCACAAGCGCGGAACGATGGCGGACCCCAACAACTACCGCCCCATTGCCCTCCTCAGCACCTCATACAAGCTTTTCGCCAGGCTCCTCCAGAAACGCCTGGAGCAGGCGATAGACTCCAAGCTGCGAACCACACAGTACGGGTTTCGAGCCACCAGATCGACCTCACAGGCGATACATGTGGCAAGGAGGTTGTTGGAGCGCGCGGAACGCTGCGGTTCAACCCTGTACGTGCAGCTTCATTTGACAAGGTGCACCCGCAAGCTGTCACGGTGGCACTAGAAAGACATGGGGTCACTCCGGCTTTCGTCAACCTGATTGGCTCGATTTACAACAACCCCTCCTTCACAGTAAAGGCGGCGGGGCAGATCAGCCAACAGTTGTTAGCAAGTTCGGGCATTCGCCAAGGATGCCCACTTTCTCCCTATCTCTTCCTAGTGGTCCACAGTATGATCATGGCCGATGTCGATGCTGAGCTACAGCAGCATGGACAGATGCTCCCATGGCTTTTTAGCCAGAACCAGTCATTTTACGACCTCGCTTACGCTGACGACATGGCCATTTTCACAGGCACTGCGGAAAGGGGCCAGCAGATTCTGCACAAGATTCAGGAAGTTGCTGCTCATAGCAACCTCTCGCTGAATCTCAAAAAGTGCGAATTGCTTCGCTCGCAGCTGGCCGTCAACCCCATACACTTCCTCACAGGAGAGTCAATGAAAGAGGTCACACAGGCCAAGTACTTGGGCGTTGTCCTCAGCCAGGACTCTTCCAGCAAGGCGGACATCACCGCGAGGCTGGGAAAAGCGAGGAAACACTTCAACACCTTGCACGCCTTCTGGCGACACACAGGCCTCAGCGTGGCTTGGAAGCTGCGCATCTACAACGCGGTCTTCATCCCCATGATTGCTTATGGCATGGAGTCCGCTGCGCTCACCACAGCTGACCTCCACAGGCTTGAGGCCTTCCACTCACAGTCACTTCGCAAGATCCAACGGATCAAAGCTACCTACTACACCAAGATCCTCACAGACAACCCCCATGCACAGACCATCCGAAACGAAGGAGTCAGAGCACTGGCCGACCAACCCCCCCTCACCCACCACATTCACAGGGCACAGCTCAAGTTGTTTGGTCATGTTTTGAGAGCAACTCCGAGCAACCTGGAGCGAAACTGTGTTTTCACGAATGCGTTTGTATATAGAGGGGGAACAGTACAGGCAGGCATCCGGCCGGGACGTCGTAGACTTCACTGGGCCGAGCAGTGTGCGGAGCTAGCATGGCACTGGCTCTCGTACACTCCTAATGCCATGACTATACCCCTAGTTTTCCCTTTGCCTTCCTTTTGCTTCACAGGCTGGCTGTTAACCGTCCGGCTTGGCTTCAGTTAGTGGGGCTGCCAACGTGCAAGAAGCTCCTCAGGTCTAGCGCTTTCTTTTCCTACTCACAGTGAGTACGCTGACTTGTGTTTGCTTTGCATAGGGCCGCCCAAAAAAAGGCACTTCAAGCACTTCTGCAGCTGGCAATGGTCTTGGAACGCTCTATATGTATATGTATATATATATATATATAAATAAACAATTATAAACACGTGTGTCCGTGTGTGTGCGTGTGCGTGTGTTGTGTTGTGACAACTGTTGCCCTTGTCTTCAAGTTTCCATGACATCGCTTATGTGCATTCTTGTTGCCCCTGTCTCAACTGCGACGACCATCCGTTGTTTTTTCCTTTGTGATTAAAACCCCTTCTGTATATCGGTGCTTTGTAAGAAGGGCTCTCTGAGTGGTTGATGCTTGTGGCCTCGGATCTTTACGTCTACGTTCTGCTCTGGCCTTGCCGTCGGTGTCTGACAAGCAGGAGGAGCTCGACGGGGCTCAACCATGCCCTTGCCACCCGCCAACATGATACCTCCAAGACTTTGGCGTGTTATGGACAGTTATCGATGAGCTCCAGAAGAGCGCATCGATTGAGTGTAGCGACGGTTGGGATTGGTATTCACCCTGCCCTACACACTTGGTTTCGCTCAACGAGGCAAAGTCGGCCCCCTTAGTCCTTTGCGATGTGTCGGGTCTCCTCTAACACCACGCGCCTGGCATTGCTAGATGAGCTTATTCAATCCCAAGCACGTGCTGTGAGACCCTTTGTTGTGAGACGAAAGTCCCGATCTCTTGTCATGGCCAGCCTGTTGCAGCTCTCCTTGTATTGAATGGTCAAGCCTCCACAGAGCAACATCGGTACAAGTCTTGCAAGTGCAAAGTGGTTGCGCATCAGTCCGTGCAGGGCAGTAGTATTCCGCTTCAGGATGCGCAAGTTCAGTATTGTGAAAGTTGAACTGGGGTACAATGTTAAGACGTTCTCAGATGGCAGCACGCACGTGAGTGCTGTCACGGCGGAGAATTCTCGCAAACTTAAAGGTTCTTGAGACCGGATTCTATGCATTGCCACTCACTGTTGTCTTCTCTCTTTTGGGGTTGTTCTGTGGCCCAAAAAAGCGGTGCATCGATAATTTTCCATATTGCCGCTGGTAAGCGATGTGAGTCTTGTGATTCCCCCGACCCTCTGAAACTGCATCTCTGAACCGAGCAGAAGCTGTTTCTGTTTTTTGTTTTCCGCTGCGTTTAAGAATATATTTAGTTGACAAAGAAACCAAGACTTGAAGATGATTCTCCCGTTGCATGGATTCACCCACTGGCCTCCAACTATGCTCTCAGCATAGTTGTGTGGTGGACTTTTGGGATCCCTCCAGTCCGGCTGCCAGCAAGTTTGGCGGAAGAGCACTCACAAATCCGGTGCACAGAAAATCTGTTTCATTGCTAGCTGCTAGCTGTCTCGATGTTGAGATAACCAATGCTTGGGCTCTTTCTCGCGATACTGACTATTTTGGAATGCTCGCCAAGGCTCGCGGAGCCCGGCAGCGGTAGGCTATGTCCAATGTTTTTCTTGGCTAGTATCAGTAACAGCAGCTCCAGCCACAAGAACCGAACTCACCAACGAACCCTTGAACATCGAATACATCAGTTGTGATGGCCAGCAAACGCCCACTTCGAAGCATGAGTGCAAGAACACACGAATGGCAGCAACAGAATTTTCGTGGATTGATTGATTAAGACGAACAGCTTATACCAGTAGAGCAATGAGGTCAGCGAAAGCAGAACGAAGGCAAGAGCGGCCTGAACACGCACGCGGGGAAAGGCAAAGCTGCAGGTAAGCATGAACACCGACTGATGATAATGTGAAAGGAGAAATTGAAATCGGCTGAGGGTGAGTGTCAAAACATCGGCTGAGGCAGCCTTTGCCTTGCCAGAGCTCTTCGTTGTGGTACGGGAGCTCTTGAGAAGCTTCTATCTCCTCAAGATTGGGATCAGCCTCTTGGTGTTGCTTGGCTGTAAGACTTGAGTTGATGTTGCCGTTACTTGAAGCGCAAGCTTTGACTCAGGATATTTTTCGGCATCCTCCTGCTCCTTAGAGATGATGTGCAGGCTGCACGGGTGTTGTGTGCATATCCATCGCAAGTTGGCATCGTCAAATTGAGAGTTGCTGATCCCCTGACAGTTATCGGATGCCACCGAGCTAGCAGTGATGGTTTCGATTGTGGTGGGCTCCATCATCATGTCCCCCATGTTGGGGTACAAGCACCGAGATGCGACAATGTACTGTGAGGAGCGCAGCATGCCATTGCTTAACTGTTTGCTTGCTTGATGCCGCGACATATGCGTACAAGCCGCAGCCCATTCATAATTGCAGACCAATGTTGCCCCGGTCCAATCTGGCAGGATAGCGGTACACCATATGGCTTGCAGCTTGACTGAGGTTCAGAGTCTCTCCTGATCTGAAGTTACTGTACACGGGAACAAGCCACCAACTCCAAGGAGCAAGAAAGAGATCGCCTACAGCGGCGAAGATGCAGGCGCAATTTACCACACAGCTTCTACCTTGTTGGTGCTGGACTCACTTCGCAAAAGGCGGCGATGGAGCATCGGAAACTTCGACTGACTTCACGCCCTCCTGTGCTGACTTCCCGGCTCATGATGGCAATTCCGCAAAGTAGGATGCGAACCATTCATGCAAAGCAGCTGGGAGTAGCTTCATCAAGCTTCTCGACCCAGTATCGCCACGTCGAGATGCGCCGTGATGCGCATGCAAAGCTTTGTTAATTTCTTACAGCCGTAGCACTGTACATGCTGCATCCTGTAGCTGACGCGGACTCAAACAAGTTTGGTCTTGCTGAGTTCGATGCGTTCTGGCATCCTCATGTGGGATTTCGGAGTGCATCACGAGAAGCGTTCTCGGGCATTGGGAGTGCCTGCAGGTCATAGGTTTGGCAAAGCCGACGGCAGAAGTGCGTTATGTCGGGAAGGTGCTGCAAGATCTTCTTGCTTGCTGGTATGTCGTGCTTTGTGTGAACTGTGAGCACATGTAGGAAACCAACGTCCCCACTGCAGAGATGAAGGTGCACCAGGACTGGCGAGGATGACGTCATTTGTAGCCTCCTTCCGATCGCACGTGTCGTCATCGCCGATTCACAGGACAGCATCTCGTCTCAGCTGGCCGTGTTGGCAAAGCAAGGGAAGTCAGTGTAAGCAGCTTGGCATGGCTGACCACATGCCAATCCAGAGTTTGAGTTTGCGAAGCATCAATTGAAAACTTGTGCTGGTCCCGCTGCCAAATTTTACCTTTGAATGCGAGTTGAGATTCGAGCAACTATCCCCCTTCGCACGCAAGGCGACACTTGTGCAGGCAAACAGTTGCTCACCACTTTTCTCGTTCATTGCTGCCTTGTAAGCTCACAGAAGAAGACCAAGCTCCTTCAACATCCGTAGCTACGGTCTGAGGTGCCGCCTAAAGGGAGGAGATCCCATGATCTTCGGCCGAGCAGGCGAGGAAATGGAGGACAGCAGGCTTATAGCAATGGTCGCCGAAACCAGCACAACCCATTCCCAGGAGCTGGCAGCAGCTGGAGTTCCTTACGAGGTTGTGCCAGCCGTCTGGGTCTGACTTTCTGCGGTATGTCATTGGCTTGCTGCATACTCGCATTGGCACATCTTAGGTGACTGCTTGCTTAGCAGCAGGCTGCTGGCTCGGATAGCTCAAGCATGACTTGCCGAGATTTGCCGAGGTCTTTTGCCCAGCCCCCGTTGGCATGAAATGGAAGATCTCTGAAGCTAGATCCCTCCTCTTGGCGTGCAAAGTTTGGACCATTAATCTGTTACTGTTACGGATTGTGGTGCCAAGGCGCCTTCGGCAGTTGGGAGGGCTTTGGTAAGAGATAGGGGCCTTGTGCACAGCGCGGGCTGGATGTTGCGGGTGGGAAGCACGGACTTTGTGCAGTTTCCTGCTTCTGAGAGCTTGAGTCTGTACCAGATTGGCCTGGACATCCCAGGTGCTGATGCCCGTGTGCCGTTGACGTATCGTAACTGTGCGACTTCACTTCGGGCAGGAATCCAAGCTCTCGAACACGAGATATGTCGGCCTTGACACATCTTTGACCAAGGTTCAGACGATGAATCCGTCCACCATCAAAGACGAGCAGTTCGACTGGTCGCAATTTGCAGCTCCCAGCGCAACCTTCGCCCTCTACATGGGGTGCGCCGACTTAGTTCAAACCAGCAGCTGCACACCGCTGTGAGAGCTGAAGCTCTGCAGGCTCAGTGTGGTGGAGAGCACGGCTCTCTGGGGCTGAACCTTCCGGGGGGAAACAGTTCTTGAGTCTGAAAGCATAAGGTGTCACGCAGAAAATGATGGCGGCCGGGGTTTCTGCCGTGGATGGCTTAGCATGGCCGAGCACTGCCTTAGGCAGGTATGTGGCCAGGTGCAGCCAGAACGGACAGTGGCTTCAGGAAACACCTATGGCGCTCGTGGATAGAGCCTCGCTTCCGGAGATGCAGGTTCAGCTGCTGCAGCAAAGATCCGGATTCCTTATCCGCTGCACCGTACTTCTTTTCGTTGCAGGTTGTAGCGGGCACTGTGGCCACTCTTGCCGCCGCAGCCGTGCGCTCGAAGTGCTCTGGAGATTCTTATGCAGATTATCCTAATCGAGAGAGGTGCAACAACTCGTGACTCGATGTCGGATGCGTGAGCAGGTCAAAGATCGCAAAGACCTGCCAGGACCAGCTTTGATCCTGATGGGAAAGAGCCTCGGAATCCACCCTTGCTTGTAGTCACTTGGTCACGGCTGTCGCAAGCGCCGCTGCTTGGGATTGTTGGCATAGGTGAGGTCGTGGGCATGCGAGACCGGGTTGCAGGCAGTGAAGCGACAAGCAACGGAGCTGCCCCGTGAAGCAGTGTTAAGCAGGCAGTCTGCCGCCTGCCAGCAGCTCTACGCAGCCTGCCACGACCTGAGTGTTCACTCCGATAATTTTCCGAGAGTTTCACACACTCTTGTACACCATGGCTCTCTGGAAGGCTCTGGCTCTTCTACGTTCAAAACTGCCGGAATTAGGCTGGCTCGTTAGGCTCCTTGGACGGTTGAACCTTTTACTCTTGTGGACTGCCGGCAGGCGATGACGAGCTGAGGCAGGGGCTGCTCCACATACCCCTGCACCATCGCCGGCTAGTTCAGCTAGCAGCTGAGGCAACTCCAACAGCAAGCTGGCGACTTGCTGGCCGCTCGAGCGAAGCGCAAGCTTGAGCAGGACAGGCTTCCTTGATCGATTGCAGTGTCGAGCTTTTGCTGCGTCCTCAGGCCGGCTATGCCGCGTGATGTTCGAGACATTGCAACATCGTGCAGATCTGCATGTCAGAAGAAATGCGGCGTGAAGCGGGCCATCGCGTTGACCATGGAGGGAAGCGATTGAATGTTGGCTGCTTCGTGAGTGCATTCTGTGGCCATGCTTTCGAGTCTGTGCTAGTTGAGATCCCGCATAAAGCAAGTGACAGATAGATTCAGAGAATCGGGACAGCCATGCCGGGCCGCCGTCTGCACAGGTTTGCAGAATGCCACGGGACCTTCCGCAGCTTCCACTGGCCAGTCGGATCGAAGAACACTTGGCAAACTTCGTTCCCAGAGACCGGCCAGCAAACAAGGAAGAGAACACCACAGGTTCGCGGTCTTTGATCCCGGAGGCACACACCAAACAGTTGCGAGGTTCGGAGGAATGGGTACAGCAGCTCATTAGATCTACTGCAGAGCACCAAATCTCGGCACCTCCATGGTGCCTTGCGTCTCATCAGCTTGACCCCATCGATGAACACCAGTCCAGGGAGGAGGCAGACTTGGCAGAAACGGAGGAAATTGCCTTCAACAACAGAAGTGTCACCGACACGCCACGTCGGTCAGAGGCTGCTTTGGCAGGGAGGAGCAGTTTGCGACAGGACGCGTTTGTTTTGATTGAACACTTTTGCACCTCTGTGAGCCCACCGACATTGAGCACAGTCCTTTCTGAAGGATAAGATGCCTGCAACGGCGAGTCATACCGCAGAGGACTCGTCCGCAGTGAAGGCCCGGTCTTGCTTCCTTACTGCACTCTTTTTTTGCTTTTGGGACAGTGGTGGAGTTCGAGTGGTTCCAGAAAGCCGACTATTCGTGATTGTGAAGTGTAAATTGTCGTCCATTTCAGTAGCCACTCCTGCATGGTCCTCCCGCCCTTCGCTCGCAGCATTCGTGGGCGGGTCACATGCTTAAATCTCAATCCGTGACAGTTTCTTCGTGTAGCTGTTTTGTGTGTAGGGCAGGCTTGGTGAACAGCCTTTGTTCTTGCGCAAATCGTGCGCCTGCCTTTACAACATGTTACTTGTTGCATGCTGGGTCAGGTTGCCAAGCCAAAATGTAGCACTCTGTGTGCCAGAGTCCCACCGTCCCTGTTGGCCAGTGTTTACCAACTGGTTGAGCAACCACCCTGCTGTAGACCCACGTCCAACCCCGATTTGTCGCTATGTTGCTCATTCGCTGGGTGGCCCCTGTGATCAGGGACATCCAACTCACTATGACTATGAGTGCAACCCCGATGAACCGCATGAGGTCTTTACATGACAGCAGTGTAAGTGCACAGAGCGAACTTTGAACTGGAGGCGTTGTTGACTCGAACAGGCTGTAGGCTCAGAAGGAGTAGCCCCATTTGAAGTCGGGGTTGGTTAGAGGCTCAGAAGCCAGGTACGACTCCAGTTCAGAATTATTTTTGCACTTACCGAACTACATCGGGCTAACATGCGGTCCTATAGGATTTCACCACGTGAGACCGTCAAGACAGATGTATCGTTGCCTCGCCTGGAGAGTCCCGTGCTTCCTAGCTCGAGTTTGACAGGAATAGTGGGCTAGCTAGTTCCCAACTGTCGTAAGATCACGGCTGTGATTTCACGAGCTCGAAGCCCGAAACTGCAGCCTCGCATTCTTACAGAGGAAGCCTTCAGCATTCTGTGCATTGCAGATGCAGATCAGTGCCGCGAGCAAATTCAGTTGCGAATCGAGAAGTTTCTTTCAGCAGGGACTTGCTGTTGACAGAAACAATGTTCGGTGCAGGACGCCCAGGACGGGGCTCGCTCGTGTGGCTTTGCTTGCAGCGAAGCTTGCTTGCAAATGTAGCTGGGTTGCAGCCGCAGCATAAGCAGTTGGCAGGACATGTTCAAGAAATGCGATGACGGTGATGGTGTTCTATCGCGGGACGAGTTGAAGAGGATGCAGGCAGAACGCGAGGTCTTGGATGAGCTCATTCATCAAACGCTGGCCGATCGAAGCTCTTGTCGCGCTGGCCTGCTGAAGGCAGAGAACTCGAAGTTGGCGGAGGCAGTTTTCGGTGTGGTTTAGGCAAGCAGGTACTTGGCGACAGCCCTTGTCGCATGCAGGTTGATTTGGACAAGTTGGACACAGACGGAGACGGTGTGGTTTCAAAAAACGAGCTGGCGGCTGTGCTGGTCAGCCCTGCAGAAGCATCACCGTCAGCATCAGCATCGTCTAGTGCAACAACAGGGGTAGTTGTGTTCCGGGCATGCTTGGGCGGCAGGACCGGGACTCGACGCAGGACACGAAGGACGAGGCTCGCTCGTGTGGCTTTGCTTGCAGCGCAGCTTGCTTGCAGATGTAGAGCTGGGTTGCAGCTGCAGCATGAGCAGTTGGCAGGAGATGTTCAAGAAATACGATGACGGTGATGGTGTTCTATCGCGGGACGAGTTGAAGAGGATGCAGGCAGATCGCCAGGTCTTGGATGAGCTCATCCATCAAATGCTGGCCGATCGAAGCCCTTGTCGTGTTGGCCTGCTGAAGGCAGAGAACTCGAAGTTGGCGGAGGCAGTTTTCGGTGTGGTATAGGCAAGCAGGCACTTGGCGACAGCCCTTGTAGCATGCCAGGTTGATTTCGACAAGTTGGACACAGACGGAGACGGTGTGGTTTCAAAAGACGAGCTGGCGGCTGCGCTGGTCAGCCCCGCAGAAGAATCACCGTCGGCATCGTCTAGTGCAGCAATAGGGGGAGTTATGTTTCGGGCATGCTTGGGCGGCAGGACTGGGACTCCATGCAGGATACCAAGGACCAGGCTCGCTCGTATGGCTTTGCTTGCAGCGCAGCTTGCTTGCAGGTGTAGCTGGGTAGCAGCTGCAGCATGAGCAGTTGGCAGGACATGTTCAAGAACTACGATGACGGTGATGGTGTTCTATCGCGGGACGAGTTGAAGAGGATGCAGGCAGATCGCTAGGTCTTGGATGAGCTCATCCATCAAATGCTGGCCGATCGAAGCCCTTGGCCTGCTGAAGGCAGAGAACTCGAAGTTGGCGGAGGCAGTTTTCGGTGTGGTATAGGCAAGCAGGCACTTGGCGACAGCCCTTGTAGCATACCAGGTTGATTTCGACAAGTTGGACACAGACGGAGATGGTGTGGTTTCAAAAGACGAGCTGGCGGCTGCGCTGGTCAGCCCCGCAGAAGAATCACCGTCGGCATCGTCTAGTGCAGCAATAGGGGGAGTTATGTTTCGGGCATGCTTGGGCGGCAGGACTGGGACTCCATGCAGGATACCAAGGACCAGGCTCGCTCGTATGGCTTTGCTTGCAGCGCAGCTTGCTTGCAGATGTAGCTGGGTAGCAGCTGCAGCATGAGCAGTTGGCAGGACATGTTCAAGAAATACGATGACGGTGATGGTGTTCTATCGCGGGACGAGTTGAAGAGGATGCAGGCAGATCGCTAGGTCTTGGATGAGCTCATCCATCAAATGCTGGCCGATCGAAACCCTTGTCGGGTTGTCCTGCTGAAGGCAGAGAACTCGAAGTTGGCGGAGGCAGTTTTCGGTGTGGTATAGGCAAGCAGGCACATGGCGACATCCCTTGTAGCATGCCAGGTTGATTTCGACAAGTTGGACACAGACGGAGACGGTGTGGTTTCAAAAGACGAGCTGGCGGCTGCGCTGGTCAGCCCCGCAGAAGAATCACCGTCAGCATCGTCTAGTGCAGCAATAGGGGGAGTTATGTTTCGGGCATGCTTGGGCGGCAGGACTGGGACTCCATGCTGGATACCACGGACCAGGCTCGCTCGTATGGCTTTGCTTGCAGCGCAGCTTGCTTGCAGGTGTAGCTGGGTAGCAGCTGCAGCATGAGCAGTTGGCAGGACATGTTCAAGAACTACGATGACGGTGATGGTGTTCTATCGCGGGACGAGTTGAAGAGGATGCAGGCAGATCGCTAGGTCTTGGATGAGCTCATCCATCAAATGCTGGCCGATCGAAGCCCTTGGCCTGCTGAAGGCAGAGAACTCGAAGTTGGCGGAGGCAGTTTTCGGTGTGGTATAGGCAAGCAGGCACTTGGCGACAGCCCTTGTAGCATGCCAGGTTGATTTCGACAAGTTGGACACAGACGGAGACGGTGTGGTTTCAAAAGACGAGCTGGCGGCTGCGCTGGTCAGCCCCGCAGAAGAATCACCGTCAGCATCGTCTAGTGCAGCAATAGGGGGAGTTATGTTCCGGGCATGCTTGGGCGGCAGGACTGGGACTCGATGGAAGCGCCAAAGAAGGAGTCCGATTTCGATTTCGGACTGTGACCTGCGCTCTTGGACTCTAACTCGCGAAGAAGCATCACGCTTACCCTGGGGTTTGCAGGGCTGGGAATTCAAGATATGTCATCAGAGGATGTCAGAATATGTCAGAATACCCACATTCAGCTGTGTGCATGAAGCCATAAGTAGGCCAGATACCAGCGGTGCGCTTGACTTGTAATGTGTTGGTCAGGCCTGGAACCGAGAAACTCCCGGCACAGTTTCGCAACTCAAGCAGTAGTTTTTCAGCACCTGGCAATGGTACTGCTTCGGACTGCCATCGGCTTTTGCCCTATTGTTGGCCCTGCCACCGATGTTTTGGATGCGGCATCCTCAGGTGATAAGACAGGTTGTGCAATTGCGGTCGGCAGGTTGTTGGTGGATGTTGGAAGCAGTGGACTGTCACAGCCGGCTCTATCGTGTGCAAGGCCAGCTGGCCAAACGGCTCATCATGTGATCAAGGTGGTGAAGCACACGCTGAAGCAAACGCTGAAGCAAAAGGCCAAGAACCGATTCCGGGAGGCAGCTATGAAACTTAGCTTGACAGCTGCTGCCGCATCCGCAGAGGCAACCATCCGCAGAGCCAAGACCAGACAATTTGTTGAGGTCGCGAGTGCAGACGCGCAAGCGCATGCGCGACTCGCCAAGCAGGTTTACAGAGACCCGTCTGAACGCCAGGGCCTGCTGATGTGCGAGATGGTAACTACGGACCGTCAGACCATTCAGGGAGAATTCTGGTACACGTACGTCGGCGGTGATTCGCGGCAAGGCTTCTGGTACTGCCCTGCGAACGGGGGCCACCTGGTTCTCGCAGAACGAGGGACCTGCTTGTCAGATGTGCAAGACCTCGGAAGAGATGCATGCATAGCAATCGGCAAGAGCTTCGAGGCATTGCACAGTCGAGTAAGAGAGTCCTTAGCCGCCATGCAGCATCAGCTTCATTGCCACACGGCCCGAAGGGTTACAGCAACGGGTCACTCTCTCGGTGGCGCAGTGGTTGCCAGACTTTCTCGACACATGGCCTTCCATGATGTGCACATTTTCAACCCTGGCGGTCTGCCTGATCTACATCGTTACGTGACCTTGCACTCGGCCTTCGGCGCATGCAATCGCTCGTTTCAGGTTCATCGAATTGCTGGTGATGCGATTTCGCTCGGCTTTTTGCCTTTAGACCAGCAAACCTACAGCAAGAAACATGGCCTTGAGGATGCGGATCCACACAAGCTTCTGCATTTCCTGCCTGAGTAGTTGCGATGCCTGATCAGCACCTATCCTTGCTAATTCATGTTAGATGCCTTGATCTACATGCCATTTCGACATCCGGGCAGACCTCCATTAGGTCCTAACTTGTTGATCTGCTTGCGGTGGTAATCCTTAGGCCCAGGATCTCAGAATTGCAGAAATCTGCAGAAGTGCTCCGGTGGACAATTATAAGCCTGTATCCTGTCCTAGCCAATGACAGCCATAGTAGCCAACACGAGTTTCCATTCTGCAACCTATACAACTCCTTTTCTAGATTCTGGCATGGAGGGGCGCCAAGCTGGTATATGCATTCCGAGAGAAGCCTTCCGCTGCGCGGTTCAAAAAGCCGGGCGGTGCTTGCATGATTGTCTGTTAGCCTCAAAGAAGCCAGCAGCCTGCCCACTTGGAGCCACCGCCGGCAGCTTTCTGAAAGGACAGCCTCCAGGTGGCCATCACCCTGCAGAGCGCAGCTACGCTGAGCCAACAGTCTCGTGCCCTTCTGAGCCTTGCGATATTCAGTTCGCAGCGCAGCAGATGCGCAGACCAAGCACGCAGGCGAGCTTCTTGACAGCAGTCGGATGGCAAGTGGGAGCCCTCGGCGTTCTGTGCGGAACTTGCATTGCCGGCGAGACCATTCTCACTTGCGCAGCTGAGGTCAGCGGAAGGAAAAGCGCAAGGCAAAGAGGCACAGGCGACAGTGTCCACAGCCCACACTCGCAAGCCACAGCATCCCCCTGCGCAGGAAGGAGGCTCAAGCCGCCCAGGCCCAGGCCGTTGAGGCCAAGATGGCCTCGGTTTCCGAGGGCCAGAAGATTCCTTCAGGCGGCGTACCGGAAGAGAAGGAGACGGAGTCACCTGCGGATCTGCTTCGTGATGCGAAAACGGACTTGACGGACGAGCTGGCGGGAGCAGCGCAGCCTGTTACAAGCTTGAACCCTCTAAGCGTAGAGGGTGAAGTGGAAACGAATGGCACTGTGGAGAAGGAAGCTGCAGGGTTCGAGAAGGATATTCCGTCCGCCAAACGCCCTTCGGAGACTCCGGAAGGTTCAGGACAAGATCGAGACATAAAGCCCACAATGGAGAGCGGAAGTCCTCATCCTCTACAATTCTCTGTGGAGATGGCCCCGTCCAAGGAAGATGCCCACAAGCAAAGCCAGGCACAGCACCAAGGCCACGCATCTGCTCTCAGACCATTCCACACCTGTCTTAAGCCATGCGTGTTTTCAGCTGTGCAGCACTGTGGGCAGGATTCGAGCCGGCCCAGTTGAACCCTGATCTACCCTTTGAGACCTTCTGAATCGGTGACAACAGTGGGCCAGGCCTGTCACAAGGCTGGACAGCGAGGCTGGGACAGAAAGCTTGCGAGGTGGTTGCTGTCCAACGCTTGCCGTGTCTTTCAGGAGCCGGATTCATTGTGGACGGCTGCGTGTCGGCAGACCCCCCGTGAAGAGGAAGACTCGCACACGCCGCGGGCACACATCGTCCACGGCCCAGAGGTGGGCGGGTCGCAACAGTATTTTCAGAAATTTCAGTGCGGAGCAGAACTGAACCAAAAGCTGAAATCAGGAGGACGGATGTGAACGGGAAAGCAGAAGAGACATGGCTTTTCGTGGACAGCTCCAGGCCCAAGCTATTTGTTCACATCAGGCAGATAGTTCTTGGCTTGTCCGAGAATATGAATCAAATTCATGTTTTCCGTCAGCTGTGGCTCGAGATGGGCTCTGTAGAAACGGCTGGCAGTGAGCCTCAGCCGTCACACCATGGCTGGAGAGATCTACGAAGTTAGAGGCAGGGGCTGCAGGGCCCGGAGGGCTTGATTGCTTGATGACTTGATGCATCTTGACGAGCGTAGCCTCCGAGGACTTCTGAAGTTTGGACGAGGTGGTCCTTCCTGTCCCTCGCATCTGAAGGGAAAGCTTGTCACTCTAGAATGCCTCGAAGGCGGGATGCGCAGCTAAAATTGTCACATTCTATCACTCGAGGCATTCTTCTCCGCATCTGTGCAGTGGAGGTGAAACCTTTGAGCTCCCTGCTGAAGCGGCCTGCTTGGCTGGGCGTGTTCGAAGCCTCGTGCCGCCAGTCTAACACTAGTAATGCGAACGTCGACTGGTGTAGAGTCGAGTCCAACCTGTATCGGACTGTATCGACCCAGGACAGAGAATGGTTGTGACCACGTTCTGAAGTTTGAGCTGAAGAAGACGACCATGCTAAAGGTTTGCGAGTATTTGAAGCATCACCGAGATCATAGTGTCAGTGAGGTCATTACCCCATTGCCTAGCAGCGACCTGCGCGACTGTGGGGTATCTCGCTGGGATTGCAGCTTTGTGAACGTTGATGTCGAAGCATTATTTGACATCGGCTTTGCCGCCACAACCTTAGGGATTCCGAGCCTGGACTTCCTTGTGAATGCGAAGCTGGCATGCATGACAAATAACAAGAGTGCGGACAAGCTCAGAAGGGAGTACAAAATGATCAATGATTTGCCTGCGCAGGAAGAGGCAGAATTGCGGCGAACTTATACCGCTCTGCAGAAGCAGCATGGTGAAGATGTGGATGTTGACTTATCGCAATTGGCTGCAGCCAGCGTGTTTCACAATGGCATGGCGGCTGCGCGGACCCAGCTGGAAAGCATCAAGAACGGGGAAGACGAAACTCAAGCTCCACAGACACAGCTGAATCCCAAAAGTTGGCGGTATGGGATGTGGTCGGCCGGTGTTAAGAAAGACTGGCAGCTGCTTGCCGATGCTCCATATGAGATAACCAACGATCGGGAGTTGGTGCAAAATGCAATTGTGTCCAGCCAGGGAAGAGCATTGAAGTATGCTTCCGTGGAGCTGCGCGCAGATGAGAACCTTGTGCTGCTGGCGACATCCTTCTTTGGGACCGCCTTTGCAGACGCCAGCCCGGAATTGCGGGCGAATAGGAGGTTCGTGATCGCCGCCGTAGGGAGCCACGGCGCTGCTTTAGCACATGCATCAGATGCCTTGCAGAGCGACAAAAGCTTCCTCGTGGAGGCGGCGAAAGCCGGCGCCGGCTCTTGTTTACAGGGGGCCAAAGAAAGCTTAAAATCCGACCGAGACCTGGTTCTTGAGATGGTGGTGCATGATGCAGTATCTGTCCGATTTGTGACCGAGGAGCTGCGGAATGATAGGGCGTTTGCAATCGAGGCAGTCAAGAGAAATGGTGCGGCCTTGAAGTTCTTGCTGCCTAAGTTCCAAGCAGACGTGGAGATCGTGCAAGCTGCCGTGGCGCGAGATCCACGCGCTGCTTCCCACGCACATGCTTCGCGCCGTCACGAGCTTGGACTTGAAGGAGAGTCTGCGCTGGGGGAGACCCATCTGGCAAAGGAGTATGCCGCACAGGCAGAAGCTGGTCAAGCGAAGGCTCAGAAAGACGAGGCGCAGTTCCTTCTTGACTCTTTGTTTCATAGGTGTTGTATTTGTTGTGCTGGGTATTTCATGATTCCTGTTTCATGCGAAGGGAGGCCCGGATGTCCGTGATGTGAGAAAGCCTTCGATCTTGTGAGGCCTTAGTACGTTTGGTCACACCATGCCCTCATGCTGGTGAATGACATCATGTTGATATGGCTGATATGTTTGCATCAGGACATGCCGGTGTCCCAGTGTTTAGGATAGGCTCCCTTAGACAAGCAACGCCATACAGCCAGTTTGCATTGCGACACGGGGTGAACAGTCTGTATGACTCTTCGTTCTGTTGATTGATCTTCTGCAGTACCTTGTTGTGTCCCGCTTTGTCTTGAAGTGTGAGGTTGAACACACTTTATGATCATTCCCTGACATGTGGACAATGCATGTGTTGTGGGTATCATTCAGTCCCATGCATGACAAGTTCGGAGACTAGCTTTAAGACTTTGCACCCTGCAAACCCCAGACCCGGAAAGCCCTTAACTCGTAAAATTGCATTGTGCAGTAAATCTATGCTACAAGTTGATGACATTCGACATGAGGGCCATTTTCGTGAGCCGGTGACTGTCGTTTTGATAAACAAGACCAGACAGACACAGAGTTTAAATACGAGCAGCATTCAAAATCATCGAACTTGAGTTTCTCTTTGTTTGGGGAAGTAATAACATGCCGTAATGTACCCTCAAGCAAGGATGAGGAGGAGCATGTAATCCTAGATTGCGTGGGTCGATGAAACCCAGGAGAACAATCTCTCAAGTCTTGAGTTCGATTGGCCAAGTTTAGCGTGCACCGGCCATACAATGACATTGCAGTTCCCACCAGGGCTGAAGAATGACATCACGCAATATGCATTTGCATTAGTTAGTAAGTAGTTTTGCGTTTGCGGGCGCTGCCCAAGAGGTTTCGCTCACACCATTTGTCGATTCACTTGGTCCATTTAGTTGGTTCGCAGCTTGAGGGCGGACCCGGTAGAGGCGCTGCAGACCGGATGCAAAAGTTAGTTCGCAGCTGACTTGTGAGGTTGTGTCGGTGGCCGGCATTGGCCATCGCCAGATGCCTTGGCAAGAAGCTCTTGGGCAGTTGAACTACACAACCATGAAGCTCAGCAAGCAAGTCGGCTTTTCGGCCGGAAGCACCATGATGGGGAACCTTGGTCAAGGACATGCCGTGATGTGACACTGTTTTGAGCTTCTTGTCCGGCGCACTTCGCTTAGAGTTGACTGCCTTCACCGTCTGCGCAGGAAACTATGTGGCAGCAAATTCAGTGAACGACATCTTCCCGGCGCTGAATCGACCAGAGATCCTTGGCGGCAGTGGGGCATCCTGAAGGACAAAGACAGAGAGAGCAAGCAAGACAGAGAGAGGGTGCGACAGAGATTGTACAGCGTGTCCAGCACTCCGAGGATCGACTCCTCCACTATCATGTGGGGTGGTGTCGGTGGTGGCATCGGCATGCGCTGGGCAAGCTTCGGGTCAAACGACGTCCTCCACTTACCTGCCGGGGGAGCAGTGGAATCACATGGACATTTTTATCATATATCTATGCTGATGCTTGTGGAGCGGAGCCGCCCCAGAAGCAGAAGTGCCAGCAAGCTTTAGGGTCCTCTCTCTCTCTCTCTTTCTCTGTATCTGTCTCTATCTCTTTTTCTCTTTTCTCTCTTATCTCTTCCCTCTTCCCGCTTCTCTCCTTTCTTTCTCTTCTCTTTCTCCTCTCTCCTCACTCCTTTTTCGTCGCTCTCTCCCACTCTCTCTCTGTCGTGCTTGCAAATTTTCTGCTGGAACTCTCAAACAACTTATGTGGGTGTATGCCGGTGCCGGTGCAGTTCGTTTTTTGCCTTTTAGCGTCTTAACCGCTTGCAGCATGAAACCTCATTCCGCAAGCATCAGTTGCAGCAGCAAGCGAGTAGGCAAGACACGAGGTATTAAGCTTTGTCGAAGATGGTCTGCTCACGATTGTGACTGGACGGCATTGGATTCAGTTGTTCACCTCGGCCTGGGCTCGATCAGTGCAACGCAGCCCAGGACGATGCCACCAAGGCGCGCTGGAATTGATCTTTTGCCGTGGGGAGCCAGTGTGTTTTGTTTGGGGCCGTGCGGAGGTGCCTGAGCCGTGTGTCATCTGCAAACGTATCTGCAGGCTGTGAGGTTCGTCTGCGCGAGGATGCATCCACCTCCGCTCGTCATGCCATCAAAATTTGACAGAGAAACACGAGCGCAAATTTTGACGCCAACCGCCGGCATGATCAAGCTGGACAGGGGCCACGCTCTATTGCACATGGAGTTCTCGACTCTCGTCCTACACACTGCAAGTCTTGCTGGCGGTTTGTTTGCAGGAGCTACCGGAGGCCGAATCCGAGGGTGCGAAAGCTGCGGAGCTTGCTGGAGTCACCCGGCACGGAAGATGATCTCTAGATTCTAGATGAAAGGCAGACTCTCTCTCTCACCCCTCTGGGTTGTGTTGAGGACTGGGAAGGACTGGCAGCGACCAGAGACCGCGAGGCAAGTATCGGGAAAGCTTGTGACAGATGCTAGTACACACACACACATATATATATATATATATAAATATTTATTATTATTATTATCATTATTCTTATTATTATTATTATTATCATCATTATCATTATCATCATTATTATTATTATTATTATTATCATTATCATCATTATTATTATTATTATGATTATTATATACATACATATATATATATACACATCTATGTGGTATATATATATATAGATAGAATGTGTGCATGTATGTATACGCTCCTGCATTTCAGCCTCGGTTGCGTCACGGAGGCTTTGAAGAACCTCCAGACCGTAGATCGTCGCCTCTGCCCAAGTTCCGGGGGCACTTGGGCTGGACACTGTCTAATTCTGTGATCACTCGCCTCGAAGACTAAGGGCCGCTTCCGCTGAACATGAATTCCCCACTGGCGAACTCGCCCTTGGGCGGCTGGCCGGACCTGCTGAACGAGTCCCATGATTTGAAAGCAAAGGGTGACTCGTCTCAAAGTTGAACCTCATGGATCAACGACCGTGATTCTGAAGAGTTGGTTCAGGCAAGATGAAGTCACTGCTGCAGACTGGCACCCGGCGCCCTTGCTGCCTGAGAGCTTTTCCTGGGCTCCAGTAGTTGTGATCTTGCCTTGGACAAATTGCAGAACGCGCCTACGCAAAGCATGTGCCAGGATCGTCTTAACCGGTGTCCACGGCAAGAATGGGATGACTGGATCATTGTCCCAAAAGTTCAGTGACGGAAAGTGGAAGGCTGCCTTTCCTCCCAGCGTGCTGTTGCCAGTCCAAGACTATTTTTGTGGAGTGTCTCTGTGGTGCTGTGTTGTGCTAGGTGCAGATTGATGGTGTCGGCAGCGCCATTCTGCATGAAGACAGCTTTGAGATCAGCGATCCCCTTTCCGGGCAGCGCCCGATGGTTGATCAGGTGGTCAAGGACGAAAGGACAGCCCTTCGGCGTGCGAAGATTCTAGAGAAACGCAGCCAGCTGCTTGGCTGAGAAGTGGCAGGGTCGTCGAGAGAGTGCCACACTACGATTTCATCACACGGCACTTTCGGCAAACAGAACGTTGTGATTTTTCTTTGGTGAGCATCCGAAGGTTACTGGAGAAGAAGGCAGCGAAAAACCAAGCCATGGAGAAGATCGTTGCCTTGACCGGCTCAGAGACGGCCCCTCCTCCACGTGCCCGGCGGTCCTACTTCATTTCTGGAACATGGAATGGCTGGAGTGCTGAGGAGATGATCTGGAACCCAGAGGAGGCCTGTTTCTCCCATTCCATGCACGTCGGCGAGTCGGGCCAGGAAGCCTTCCAGGTGTTGCTAGACCTACAAGGCACCACTTGCCTGCATGCCGGTGAAGTTCCTCAGAGATGTCAAGGAGGAATGGTGGTCCAGGGACCTGATCCCAAATGGAGGTGTGAAGGATTCAATTTCAAGATCTCCAAGGTTCAGGCTGGCTGCAAATGCAGCGTACGGTTGTTGCTCGACGAGAAAGGCTTTGCCAAGAAGGTGCATTGGCTACCCGTTGCCTAACAAGCTGCAGTTCCTTCCACCAGTGTATATGTCCGAAGGAGTGCTCTGCCTCCCGTCTCACACAAGGAGCTCTTGCCGCCGCAGGCATTTCGGAAAGCATTGCTGCGGTAGGTATCTGTTTAGGACGTCCCGTGATCTTCCGACCATCTGCCTGCATCGCCGTGCCAACAATCGCAGCCAGCCAAAAAGTGGGATTTTGTGCTTGCTGCGGTGGAAGCCTTTGCTTGTGCTTTTTGACGATTCGATGATCCTGGGTGTTGTTGATGCTGGCAGTCCATGCACCAGAATTAGTGTCACATGGTGCCGCTCGAATCGTGCCAGATGTGGGCAACAAGCGTCATTATGGCAGAAGGCCAGATCGCCGCGGGTGAGTCGGGCACCAGGCGTTGCTGCACTGCTTGAAGCTGCGATCTGCATTACGATTGTGTTGAGCTTGGCTCGTCTCCGGCTTTCAGCTCACGGACACACATACACCAGAGGCGATGAACGCCCAGCACACTTAAGTCGTGCAGACTTGCAACACGTGGATGGCTTAGGGCTGGGGTAGTCGATTCTGAGCTTGTAACAGCTAGTAGCAATCAGCTCAACAACTTGCTGGACTCATTGCATATCTTCGGAGTGCAGCGCGACGGCCAACTGCGGCCATCGGCATCACGCCACAAGCCTGGCATGCGCTCATGCTCGCACCCACTCGCGGTCACTCGTGCCACTAAGGTCGCTCCCAGCAGCTCCGCCGATTCGAGCAGTCTCCGTGCGGGAGTGGCTCAAGTCTCAACGTCAGGTCTCCGAAGACAAAGTGCGTCATGGAGAGACCGGGCAACGAGACGGAGAGACGCAGAGACCTAGAGGAAGCGCCGCTTCTACGTAGATCCTCTATGTTAAAGCTGTTAAATTGTTAAAGGCATCAACTTGATTACCCAATTGTTGCTGCTGATATGGCTGCATCACATGATCAGTGACGAAGATCAATCAAGAACTTCATCGTGTTTGGTGTGGCTCCTCATGTTTTAGTGACCAGCTTCGTTCTGGGTCTGCGGTTGGTCTGACCCTTTGGCTGATCCGTTCAACTTGATGCTGATGCGCCAGGCCCCTGGTTACGGCCCAATCTCGACGAGCATGGACACTGCTGAAGCTCTTCACTCAGCTGCTTCACCAGTCTTCCTGAACACTCCCTGATAGATCTTGATTGTAGAAAGACGAGAAATGCAGTTAGGAGAGGCTTCTCCCTGATGCCGAGAATCACAAGGATCTTCTCCTGTGCTTTTGACACCTCCTTGTCCCGGGTTCTGGCACAAGAACGGTTCATGTCTAACAACCCCACGGACAGGAGCCGCGAACTTGGATGCGAACCAAGTCTCTGGAGCAAGGCCCACGTCAGCCCCGAAGATAAGGCAGAGTTGGGAGGAAGCTGTGCGTTCTGTGCCTTCGCCAGAGGAGCCAGCAGTGATCAAGAGACATTGTTGTCGAGGCACCGGGAGCCTGTAGGAATGCCAAAGCTCTCCTGCATTTCTCCTGGCCCTTACAGCGTACAGGCTTCCGGGAAGAAGTGAGTCGGCATCTGCTACGCCGCCATGGCCTTGGTACATGATTATGTTGGCACAGTTCCGGCACACATTGACGCGTATCTACGCATCGTGTGGAGGTGGTGGTTGCCTACACACTCGCCCCCTGGTTCTCCGCACAAGGACGCATCGTTTCGAGTGGCGACGTGGAGCCGCCACGTGGAGCCTTTTCTTGTGACCGAGGACAGCAGCCTTCTAAGCGTGGAAAGGTACAGCAGCTCCCAAAACGGGCGGCACAGTGCTTGACCCAAAGTGTCCCTCCCAAAACAGGCTCCGCAGTTCAGCCAGTCACTGAGGCTCGTCCTTGCCACGAGAATCTCTGAGACCTTGGGTGTGCGAAGCTCTGCTTTGACATCCGTTGGTGTTTTGAGACTGCTTTGATCTGCTTTGGCTTCTGGCAGGCCTGGAGCAATGCCAGACCCTGCAAGAAGGCCACTCTCGCAGTCTTCCGAGGTGCGCAACGTGCCAGAAGACGCACCAGCAGTGCTGCGGCTCTTGCGCGAACCGGGATAGCGAGTTGCAGCCACCCTTTCTGTCAGGAGAGATCTCCCGCTACTGCAGGCTTCTGCACGTGTTGCCTTGCGTTTGACCATGTCTTTGAGCCATGCGGACGTGGAGTGCTCTGGCAAATCCGCGGCATCTTCACAGCTGGCAACTTAGGCAGTGTGGTCACCCAGCCTAAGTGTAGGGATCCTGTCCCAGCATGACCATTGCCGGGCAAAACGACTGGATTGACTTGGGCATTCCAGCTTCGGAGTTCCGCGCTGCATCCAGTCTGGAGACTGGGCAGTGCTTTCATTGGAAGCGCATCGCGGTGGATGAATGGCTCGGTATCGTTTGTGGTTGCTGCGTGCAGCTGCGGAGCGTTCCTGACACTACTTTAGTTAAGCCCTTGGCAGGACAGCTAGATCTGCAGGCCGTTCTTAGATACTTGAACTATGGCCAGGGCAATCCTTCGCTTTTGGATCTGCAAGCTGTTTGGGGCGAGGGTGCCGCTGAAGCTGTCCGAACCCTCCCGGGTGCCCGCGTGCTCCAGCAGGACCCAACTGAGGCCCTGATCAGTTTCATCTGCTCTGCGAACAACAACGTGCCACGGATCAGCCTGATGCTGGAGAAGATGCGCCAGCATGCAGGCGGACCCTTGTGCAAGCTTCCGCCAGGCATGGCAGCTCGAATGGCAGAGGCATACAAAGACAAAGAGGTTCCGTCCCACGTCCACGAGCTGCTTCTGCGGAACCGCCTCTGTAGCTTTCCCTCTGCAGAAACCTTGGCCAGTCTTGGCGAGGCGAAGTTGGTTGAGCTGGGTTTGGGCTACCGTGCTCGTTATGTCGCAGCAACAGCCCGAGACCTGGTGTCCACAGACCTAAGCGCCTTGAGGAGTTTGCCACGAGAAGATGCGGAGCGAGAGCTCCGGCGCTTCCCTGGTGTGGGGCCAAAAGTTGCGGCCTGTGTGGCGTTGTACGGCCTTGGCTTCAGTGGGGCAGTGCCGGTGGATGTTCATGTTGCAAGGGCGGCGAGACACATGGCACCACATCTGGCAAGCCGGCTTACTACTTCACTGACACCCAGACTCCACCTCGAAGTAGCTGACTTCTTTCGCGACCGATTTGGTAGCCACGCAGGTTGGGCGCAGCATGTGATTTTCGCTGCGCAGAGGCAGCACGGACGCATTCCCAAAAGCTTCTTGCCAGTCTGCCGAGTCTTTCCGTGGCCTGTGCACGTACTCATTAAACTAAGCCCCCGCCTGCAGCACCATAAGACTATATATGCTGGAGTCGATGGACCTTCAATCTTTCAAACCCTCACGAAGGCAAGGGTCGACTGCCCGTTTGCATTTTTGCGTGTCCGTGCTAGAGTCGAAACTCCCCACAGTCGCAGAAAGACACTGTCTCTGCACATGGGCCCCCGTCTCCGAAAGGGGCATGGCACGAGCATCTGCACTTGGTGTGGGAAGACCTGTTAGCAGTGACCCTGCTTTGCAGGACGGGAGCTCGACAGCAGCAAACGCGAAATTGAAATGCTGGGAGTCTCAGATTCGGAGTGCGTTTGCCTCGCAATTGACCTGCAATCAGGGACGCCGGCGCAGTTGCTGCGATCGAAGCTCCTTCACCATGGTCTCGTCCGGACAAGGCTATCTGGGGCCGTGGCTCGGCGCAAAACGAGACCAGACATTTGCATGTGACAGCGTCGGAGCAACAATACTGCGAATCAGGAGGAGGTCTTGTCTCGGCACTGATGCCAAGGATGTGATAGCATCACGGATGACCGCATGCCGCGTCCTGTCTGCGCCTTCCATTTCCAAACTCCAGCTGCTGCAGCCCATGCCAGACTGCCGATCGTTCCTAGGCATCCTCGCCAGTTGTGGACTCTGTGACCGAGGTGCGGCTTGCCGCACAGGAATGTGTTGTCGGTTCCGGTGCTGCCGGGATGGTTTTCGAAGGTTTTGCCATTTCCGTTGCAGGTGATTGAGCTGGAACACGACTTCTACTCCATCTCCTTGACGCCGCAGGTGAGAACAACATTCTAGCTTGGCCAACGGGCTGACCATATTCGGGGTGCGATGCCTGCAAGCACTAGGCAGTGGTTGCAGAGACGGATGGTGCCCACGGCCAAAAATCTGACACGTGTCGTGCAGGTGCCTTGTTGGGCTGCGATGTGCGCGCCGTTGGCATCTTGCATTGCGCAGCTGTTGGTTTGTTGCTCAGAGTTGGAACTGTTGGGCCCGACAGTGTGTACATCACTTGGACAGCAAGAGAGAGAACATGCCCGAGGTGCTGTACTTCTTGGCCTACCAGAACGAGACGATGTTTGAGGGTGGCAAGTGGAAGCAGCCCATATCCCCTTACTGGTCCTTGGGATTAGATTCGAGGGACTGCTCACGACGCACTCTTTCTATGCTGTCGGTGTGTTTGCGCTTCTGGAACCCAGGAGTCTCAACACGATGAAGCTGCTCGGCACAGCAAAAGGGCATCTGCATCGAGAGCACAGTGGTTCCCCCCACTGCGAAGGATGATTTCAATCATGCTGTCGCTCTTCAAGGCCCACCAAAGGACCACACACACCTTCTAGAATGCCTGTCATGCATGTGTCACACATGATCTCCAGGTGTCCATAGAACTTGGCCATGCGCAGCGTCTATGCAGATGTCTTGTGGCCAGATCCCAGGGATAGTGTCGAGACGGCCAGAGAGCCTCCTTGTCGTGGAATAGGTCGGAGCTTTTGCTGAGGGCTTTCGGCCTGCCGGTGACCGAGTCGATAAGTTTCATGCGAGGCCATGCCATCACGTGAACGCATGCCAAGTTACGTTGAGTCCAGGTTGTGGGTTGGTGGGCACTGGCGCTGCAGTACTTCATGGCGCTGTTGGTGCTGTTCGTGCTCGGCCCTTGTGATTCCAAGTGTTCCCGCTGAACACTTCGCAGCATGAGAGAGCCCAAATCTTATGTGAGTGCTAAGCTGCAGGTCTCTCTCGGTTGTGCTCGGCTCAACGTCTTGTGCACGAGCCCTGAGACCGCCTGATGCGGTCGACATTTCACGAGCGTTATGAACGTTGCTGAGGTTGGCTGCTTCTTGAAGATCTTCAGCGTGTTCATCATCGTAGACATGGACAATTTAGCGGCAGGGTGCGCCTCAGTCAGCTCAAAGCAGAAGCAAGCAAACTTCGACAGTTGTGGCTTCAGGTTCGTCGATGGAATGACGTACCTGGACTTTCGCGTGGAAGTTTCCCCGGAACGGCTTCAAGCTTTCAAGAGGCCGACGGCTGCAAGGGTCCATCTCCGTCCTTGTCCCTGAGCTGTCCAGGCGACATGGTGGAATATGCCGATGTCTGTCGATCAGAGCGATTTTCATGTTCATGCCTGCCAGAGCCCCAGTGCTACAACCCATGCTTTCCAAAACACCCGGCCTGGTGATGCCGGGTGTAGGTGACCCTGATCCTCTTGTCCTTGGCTATGTCAATTTACTTCAACACGATTCCGCTGACGCTCCTGTCGTGGACGACTTACTGGACGCAGCGCAATCTTAGCCACTCATGTTGCACCATGGTGCATTCGTCGCATTGTGGTGTTGACTGCCCTATATGAGGTTTGGACAAGTCAGCAACGAAGATTCGCCGAAGATGCTCGTAGATGACGGCACTTGCGTAGCGCAGTCTCGGCCTGAAGTCTGTACTTTCGTGCTTGCCGTGCTTGCCCCTGTCGTTTTGCTGCCATGAGGCTCGTCCACCACAAAGGCCTTGCACCCAGCATGTTTGCCTTGTATCCTTTCCAGCACGGGGTGCAACGGAAGCCTTGGAAGCCTCGCGCCATGTCTCGTGGCCGATGTCGATGCACGACACTGCGAAGCTGACATGAACCTGCAAACAGTGGTCAAGGATGCAACAGTGAAGAGGGCGTGGGCGTCGGACCGGCTCATCCATGGGACTAGTGCCATCTGACATACTAAGCCGATGCTTGGAGTGAAGACGGGGTTGCCTTGGACAATCAGTCGCAAGGTATGGTCACCGTGAGGTTGCATCATTGCGCTTGGTACACTGAAAATGGCGATGACATGCGGTGGCATCGCATCAGTTCAATCTAGTACAGCAAGCAGTGCCGGGGATGAACGAGGACTCGGCTGCTGATCGTGACATGAGAGCAGCAACACGAAGTAGGTGAGGTGGGTGTGGGGAGGAACGGGTGCTGCTCCGACGGGCTTCTGTTCCTGGCTACACCACTTCTTCTCAATCAAAGCTTGAACGTGAAGACCAGGGTCATCCAGTTTCGGAGTCTTCGGGCTGGCCTCATTGTGTGAATGTGGCCTGTTTGGAACCCGCACTTAGCCGTATATACCCTGATGCAGACCTCGCAAGGGTGGGTTACCGAATCGCACCTTGGTAAAGCCATGTGCAGCTTGACTTTCGGCTTCTTGTCGTGCTGTGGTTGGCATCATCCACAAAGGCGCATTTGGTTGGCAAGAGATCGTGGAAGAGTTGACAGTGCTAAGGACAGGGCTTGTCAGCAAACGTTTCAGTGCTGCTCCTTGCAGCACTGGATGCAGATAGCGCGTGGGACCTGGCATCATCCGGCAGTCCACAGCATGTCCGTTTGCTTAGCGCGCTCAGGACAAAGCGCTCGCACCCAGCCGCTGGCTCGGCTTCTCGAAGTGCTGCAAAAGAACGTGTTCCGCCGTTCGCTGCAGAAAGAAGGATTGCACTGGGTGGCCCTAGAGTATGCTGCGCAGCCGGTCACTCCTTCCTCTCTGCAGGCATCGGCGGTCTTGGTGTGTTACGACTTGGCAAGTCGTATGTCAGGAGTCGTCTGCCCCAAGATGGCTCTGCCATTTTGGCCCGAGATTTCGGTCGTTGGATCCTTTGAAATTGCCAAAGCTTTCCTCGCGATGGCCTCCTCCTCTGCGGACACGATGGCTTCTAGCATTGAGATCATTGAGGGCGTGGCTCTTGCGCGTGTCCCAGCAGATCTTGATTTTGACAAGCAGTGGAGCAGACCAATGACGAGACTGCAGTTGGTCATGCCACTCTTCTCCAGAACCTTCAGGCTCAATCATGCTGGTTTCCTTCGCTACGCCGGAGATGCACCTCCCGGAGATTGGTCGGAGGAGAAGGCCTACCACCTCGATGGCTTCCCAACGGACTTCGCGGGGATCGGCAGGCAGGCTGCCGAAACAAGGGAGAGACTGGCAGGTGATCACCGTGGAGAAAGGAACCCCCCACGGCCGTTGTGCAGCTGGGAGGCGTGACCTGGCGTATGTGACACGGACGGTGTGTTGACGGAGGATGCCAAGGGGTTGGCCTTGGAACTGGGCACAGAAGCCGCGACCACGGACGCCTCGGAGGTCAGCTTCGCAGTGCTTTGATGAGGTCATTGATCGGCCCCAGCGCGCAACGCCGTGACCTTCCACCCTAAGTTGCATTTTCAGAGGGCGGCGCAAGGGCCTGTGGAGGCCCGCCCCGGTAGAGTTTGACCGGACGCCGCAAATTGATGTGATGGTTCAGATGAGGTCGAGTATGCGGCCGGAGCTAAAATCTTGCGCCGCTTGGACACGGCGTTCAAAATTTGCAGGTGCACGGCCGCAGAATGATTTGTCATGATGTGTCAGATCGATCCATGGGAACCCTTCGTTCAGATAACTACGGATGAGCATGTACTTGTGATATGCATCCTTGAGGATCTGCCATCAGGCAAAGTTATGTCGGCTTCTCAGATCGCCAGTGCTCTCGGTAGACTTCAGTGGGCCATGACCTGGAAAGTTTCGTCAAGCATCTCTCTATGCTCCCATGTCGATCTGGATTGGAGCGAGTGACGCGAGCACCTCCGACAACGGCGTTGCCTTCGTGGGCGGCTGGTTTTCCAAACTACGTTACCCGTCCAAGTCGGACGTCCTCTGTCCCATTGCCAGGTTCTCCCGGAGGCGCTTTCTTGGACCTTTGACAAACGCTGCCCAAGAAGCGAATTGCAGCGCTTGACATGTTTGGCACCCTGATCTTGTGCCACTTCCTCATGGAGAATGTCGGCGACGGTGAAAGGAACATCCTTTCCTTCCTGAACGACACGTCCAAGAAGATGCCGACATCGATCATCCTGATGGAGATCTTGCTACAGCTGCATGCAGCTTGTGCCCTCTCACGTGAACAGAGACCAAAATACTCTGAAAATACTCGGGCAGATGAGCTGAACCAGCCTGACTGTCAAGATTTCACCCCGCATCTTTTCCAACTTTACACGACTGCCCTCACCCATGGACCCGGGCACGGCGCCCCCTGAGGTTGTGGCTGCTTCCTGCCGGATTCTAGCGGCACGGCACATGATTTTAGGTTTAGACGGGGGCCGGCACCCCAAGTACCCTCAACCCTGAGGGGCCGGCCTCCTCTTTGCAATTTCGCTTTCTGGGAGTCGGCAGCACCATGCAAAAAGTGGCGCTTGCATGGGGTTCTCTTTTTGTGTCTGCCATTTTCATGCCGATATCTGACATTTTGATGGTGCATCTCTAGGCAGAGGTGAACTCGCTGTCTCTGAGCAGGTCATGAGGGGAAACGATGCAAACAACAATGGTGTCTTCAAGTCTGGAAGTCCGGTGCTTAAACAAGTTTGCGCCGCCACTCGGTTCTAGACCGAGCTTTCGATGTGGAAGCCAGACAACCACTTGGGTCTAGAATCCAACCGTTGCGTTGTGCCAGACCCAAGATGCAGGTGCGGCAACCGTCAGGCCTGAGTGGCACAACTTCTTTGCTTGGCTCACAGCTCATCCGTGCTAGCGCTGTTTGCGCAAGGAGTCAAGCGTACCATTGGCTGGAAACACATGGCTTTTCCCCTCAAGTCTACAGCAACTTGCTCAAGCGGGAGCCGTTGCCGACACAGTGCCAATGCAAGAACGGCTTGAGCGCCAACAGCATGCCAACAGCACTGATCGAGGAGAAGCTGTACAAGACCTTTCAGCCGTTTGAAGCCACGTTCTTGATCCCTGGCATACAGGCCGAGTGCTCCATGCAAGCCGTGGTTGGCCTTGGGTTCAGACTAACAGTCAGTTAGAATTATGCTTGCCTATTTGAGGCTATGGGCACCACTAGCGCCACATCATATCGCAATCCCTATCCCAACCTCAGAATACCATCTCAGGAATATTCCAACACCCCTTTCCAGGTGTGGGCGATGGGGAGAGATTGCTAGAGTTTGACCATAGCAGTTATAACTATTATAACTGCATAGTCTCTGACGAAATCCATATTCATGGCACACATATATCAAAGAGGATTAGAGAGTTTGTTATACGAAACCCGAATTTTATCATTATCGGAACGGGCGATGTCAAACAGCTACCGCCAATTGAAAACACAGCGAGTACAAGGAAGCACGACGAATACGCAGATAAATGTAGTAATCAGATTTTCAAGTACACTGTTATGCTTACCATATGCAAGAGATTAGGACAACAAGGGGACCCACCAGCAGAAGCCAACAGGAAAATATTAGATATGATGTATGATGATATGTGGCTCCATAAGTTATTTTTATCAGAGTTTGTTCATAAGTATGTTAATACAATCGGTGATATGACAGAATCTCAGAAGAACATAGCCTATACGAATATGAGGTGCTTAACGGTGTCTAATGCAATCCGAAAGAGTTCAAGTAAAACAGATAAGTATGAAGTGGGTGAGATCTTAATCTGCCGACGAATTCGGGCGCCAGGGCTCCCGAATTGCTTTCGGCTCTGGGGTCTCGGCCTTTACGTTTGGGCTTTAGGGTTTTCGGATTTCGGGTTTCACCCCCCCCCAGTCCTGAATTGTCTGAGACGGTTCCTGAACTTGCTTCCACGATCAGAAAGCGAATGGAGAAATAGACGACAGCAAGTATATTAATCCAAGTTGGTTTATGAAGCGAGTGTGTAGTCATTGTAACAACTGCGGGTGTAACTTTGAGTTTGAGTTTAAGAGCGGCTTCTTAACAAGTAACATGACAGCCCAGAGATAACTGCATCGCGCACGAAAGCGACAATTGCGAAGCTTGGTGTAAGCAATGTAACTGCAGTGCGAAAGAATTATCAAAAGATTTTTTTCAAATAATTGTTTCATTTTTTTCAACATTGTGAACTTTTTATTAGTATCTCTTACCGATGCTTCAATGGTAGGCTTATTCTAGGGAATATTTTTTGCACAAAAACCGGCAATTGTATAATCTTTCCAGTCTTGAATAGGTTTGTGGCTTGCTGTATAATTCTTTTACGATCTTCGTCTTTGTGCCTGGTAAAAACAGAATATCCAGTAGCACCAAACGAAACTGTCTTCTTATTGTCTATGACTGCGTCGTATTTTGCGTCTTTTTTGATTGATGGTTGAATAGTTATATTGACCTGACACTTGAGACTAATCCAATACGGACTTAATTCACTGGAGATGTGCCTATTGCTCTGCTTCGTTACCCAGCCATGCAGGAAGCAAAATCAAATATATTCAGATAACTTATCTGTTAAAGACGGGTTCCCTATATAGTTGTTGTAATCCCCTAAGTGCTTCTTTCTTCCCAGCAGGAATACCAGCAGACGAAACCCACTTATTATAGAGGCTTCGATATAAACGTTTCTCGTATTGTTGAATGCCTATTCTACTCGGGCTTATCATTGGTCTCATATTCAGTTGTTCTCGCGAAGTGTCCGTATCTTCTCTGGAACTTTCTTTTAAAGTTGTCTTTTTTGTAAGCCGTGTTCGTGGTTTTCTTTGCGTTTGTTCTTCTTGTCCCGTTTGTCTCGCAGAACCTTGCGGGAATTGAAAATTTCCACTTGATGAAGATGACGATGAACCACCTTGTTGAAATTTCCTCTGTCGTGTTGGTAGTGATGGTTGCTGAACTGCAGGGGGAAATGGTTGTTGAGTAGCACCCACATTAGGTTGATGAGGCTGTAAAATAATAGAAGCTGGTAGTTGCGCCATATTGGGGATTGTCCTCGGGTTTCTGGGTGGTGATCGCTGTGCTTCTATATCAAGCAGGGGGCGGGGTTGTGGCAAAATTCTTCGCATAACTGCGTCAGCTAAGCCACTCAAAACTGGTTCAGCTAGTCCACCAACGAACAGATATTGTTGGATCGTGATCTGATGCTAGACCACCTGCGATGTTTCTTCCTATTCTCATTGTTCCGCGCCCGAGAGTTCTTAATATGCCTTCGCCTTGTTGTTGTTCTTGTTCTACCTGTTGTTGGTGCGCTTGGAAGCCTCTCGGCTCAGGAAAGGTCAGGCTAGTACAGTTGCCTTTTTCCTTTCTTGCCATGGCATTTGTCAGCGCCTGAGCAGTCCCGGTCCCAAGTCCGGGAGGGAGTATTAGATTTACAGCTCTCTAACATCTCCCAGAGGTGAGGGTTGTCGGTATTGCGAAGCCGACAGGAGCCGTACTCAACATGAGTGCTGCGAAACAGCCTAGTGGTTCGACCAAGCATCAGCCCGTTCCTAAAGGGAAGGGTAAACGCTCTTATCAAAGGGCAGCACGTAAAGCTCTGCTTGAAGGTAGTGCGGTCTACAAGGGAAGGACGATGTCGTCAACAGAGCTTGGAGTTGCTCCGGCACATGTAAAGCCCACCAATCCCGGCAGAAGGACTCGGCCTTCGAAATTTACAGAAGATAAGAATCTCAGCTATCTATCCTGGAACGCAGGATCTCTCACAACAGCAGTTTGGGAAGAGTTACTCTCCGTACTGCAAAGTGCCGCATTTCAGGATGTGAAGCTGGTAGCAATTCAGGAAACACACTGGAGGGGCTCTTGGCAATTCAGCAAGTCAGGCTGGCACGTGATCAGCTCTGGTTCCACAGGGGAGAAGGGAGCCGGGGTCCTCATAATGGTGCACTCCACGCTGTGCAAGTCACAGGATCTTCGCTACAACGAGGTTGTTCCAGGAAGAGTTCTCCGGGTCCGGGTGCCGAGCAACGGCATCTCACTGGACGTCTTCAGCTGCTATCAACACGTTTGGCGCTCTAAGGAGACAGTCGCTCAGAATAAGGAAACCCGGAAGCAGACCCTTCACGCCCTAAGTAAGTCCATCCGAGCTGTTCCCAATCGCAACACTCTCCTTGTGCTAGGAGTTTTTAACTCCTCGCTCAAAACCGACAACAAACACGTAAGGCCATGCACGATCCAGGCTTGCAGACTCGGGCATCGCGGATCTAAGGATCTCCAGACCCTGCTGTCGGAGCACCAGCTAGTCGCAACCAACACTTGGGGAGTGCATAGACCAGCCACCCACGAACAAGGCAACTCTGTTTCACAGATTGACTTCTCGTTTGTCAGGATTGCACAGTCCCAAGGCCCCGCCAGGTTTTGCCGGCCACTAAGGACCTTCCCAGTTGCATCCTGGAGGGATGGTAGTAGGCATTTCCCCCTTCTTGGTAAACTGAGGCACAGCAGGAGATACTCCGCCCAAGCCTCAAAACCCTATGACCAGCAGGCAATGGAGGACTGCTACAGACACCGTTCCCCGAAAATACAGGCATTTGCCAGGGAGGTAGACTCCCTCCTTCAGGATCATCCCCAAACCTGGCAGAGTCTCCATCAAGCAATGAACTCAGCCCTCGCGACTCACTTTCCCAAGAGAAAGGAAGCAGCACAAAGATCAGATCTCAGCATCTGGGAAGAGCGCTCTGTGTTGCGCTCACTCCCACTAGCAGTCAAGGTCTTAGCAGAGTTCTTGCCCGAGCTGCAGGTCCGTATGGTGTTCCGATGCTGGTGCTCGTTCTCCCAGCAAAGTGCACAGGCGAGGGTAGCAAAGCGTCACAAGCAGGAGCGGCGGCGGCAGGAAATAGATGAACAACTCCAGCAGGCAGAGCTTAAGTCCAAGCAGGACGGGAGTCATTCCCTTTACAAGGTAATCAAGCGCTTCAGGTCGGGGAGGCCCCAGGAAAGAGTTCAGCTTCGTGATTCTGAGGGTCGCTTCCTTACTGCCAAGGAAGAAAGAAGACAATTAGAGGAATATTCCCTAGACCTGTTTGGAGCAGGGGATGACTTCCCGCTTTCAGGGATACAAGGCAGCCTGCACATCACTGAGCAAGAAGTGCAAGAACAGCTTGCTTGGCACAATAAAGCTGGGTAAGGCGGTTCCTAAAGAGAGTCCTCCCGTTGTAGCCTGGCGCTCCCTAGGTCCCCAAGTAATCCGGCTAATCTCGGACACCCTTAATAGGGAAGTCACTGCAGGAAGGCTCTCGGACAGTGTCACCTCGTCACAGATCTCCTGGCTCCCAAAGCCTCCCAAGAAGCCAGACAAACCAACCTCACTCCGTCCGATCGGGGTGATAGCACCTGAGGGTAAGGTCCTAGCCGGACTCGTGAGGAAGAGACTCAAGTCTACCCTCCAGCTAGCAATGACCGGCGTCTCTCAGTTCGGCTTTGTCCCAGGCAGGGGCACAGAGGAGGCTATCTGCAAGGCCCTCACACATGTGGACCAGGCCAGGTTCAGACAGGCCCTCACCACTAGGGCTGCAGGTAAGGGACAACAGGGGCTCAAGCTCAGAGGCAGTCTCACCATGAGCGTGGACATGAGCAAAGCTTTTGACACTGTAAACAGGCTGCGATTAAGAGAGGCCCTGGAAGCCGAACAAGCAGATCCTCTTCTGATAGAGGTGGTAGGCCATCTCCACATCAAAGCCTTGTACAAGATGACAGCCAGCGACCAGAGCTTTGAGATAGCCACACGCAGGGGAATCAAGCAGGGATGTAAGCTAGCACCCTCTTTATTCGCCTTTGCATCAGGGCTTCTCTTTAGGAAGCTCTCTGGGAAAATCAGCCGAGCAGAACTAGTGAAGCTCCTCACAATGTACGCTGACGATAGCTTGATCCAGTCGCATTTCGACTCTGAGGCCGGCCTCATGACAGCACTAGGGTACTGCGACCTGCTTCTGGATCAGCTGGTAGAGCTTGGGTTCAAGGTCAATCCGTCCAAGTCAGCAATTCTGCTACAGCTGCAAGGGGGCTCAGCCTCGACCATTAGGAAGAAA